TTTTGACTGGAAATATAACATATATTTAAAATATCGTATAAAACGATTTAAAAAAATCATAGTTTTTAGTTTTAGAACTATTCCATTATTCTTATCTTCAAAATCAAAAATAATTTTCCTCTACAAGCCTCAAGCTGAAAAATAGTTTTTACTGCCTGTTATGTGAATATATAGATAATCTAATCATTATAGTTTTCTTACAGTTTATTTGGAATCCAATGAATAAAATGGTCCTAATATAGGGGTTATCCATCAGGGGGCAGAGCTCTAGGGGTTTAAAGATCACAAAAAAGTTAGAAACTTTATAACCATTGGAATCCCTCTGTTTCAAACATAAGCTTAAGCTTTGTCTTTTGCTATTATTTTTTGTAAAGAATAAACCTGAATATACCTGAATTATTGGGTATAAAAATCGGTACCCAAAAATCTTGGTAGTATGACAATAGATACGAATCGTTCTGAAAGAAATGTTTCTTGTTTTTAGTTATCACTAGCTGTACCCGCGGGCTTTGCCCCGCTTAACTTCATAAGTATTCGCATGGCTCAATCACGTCCTGGTTGAAGTTCGTTCGCTACGCTCACTCACCTTTGGGTTGGAGCTCGTTCGCTGCGCTCACTTGCCTTCAGGTTAGCTCGTTCGCTACGCTCACTTGCCTTCAGGTTAGCTCGTTCACTACGCTAACTCGCCTCCAGGTTGAAGTTCATTTGCTATGCTCACTCACCTTTTGGTTGCAAATTAGCTGTTGTCATAAATGTAAAAGAAATAATAGTGCTGCACCCTGTTGGTAATCCTTGTAACTTTAATGCTATTGAACATCATACAACAGAACCAACTTGTTTAATTGAAACAGCTTTTAAGATTCATTAATTCTATTTCTCATAAGGTTAACATGGGAAACTCCAGAGCCACTGGGGCGGAGCCGATTGGACGGATCACAAAATTGATGGTGTATAAACCTATTCCATGAAATTCTACACGTATGTACCAAGTTTTGTGGCAATCGGTTCAGCGGTGTCCGAGTTTATCACTGAAACACACACACACATATATATATATATATACACACAAACATCCTCTTTTATACTTATAGATAAATTAATTGTTCGAAATAGGGTTACTTTAGTATTATCCTGAGGCTGCCCTTAAAGAGCGCATTGCAGCGGATATGTTAGGTTGGGTTATCATAAATATATTTGTAGGACTTTTCTCGTTTCATTATGAATCAAACAATACCAGACAAGTCATACTTTAGCTTGCCAAATCCCCTCCAAGTAGGCCAAGGTGAGGTCGTTGACCGGAGTGTGTGCATCACCTGTCACCGCCTCTGTATCTTGTGTGGTAGTAGTAGAGGCGCTGTTACATTCAACACAATCCTCGCCGACATCGCTACCTTCTGGAAGGCAGAACTCAAAGGCCGCTGATTATCACGTTACCACGTTTATCATCTTTCCATTTAACCCAACCTAGCATAACTGTCGCAGCACGCTGTGTAAAGGTGGCCTCCGGATGAAACCAAAGTACCGAAATAGGACAATTTTCATAATAGTGGGACTCTTATGTACAAAAAACAATAGGCCTATCGTTCTTGCCCCTAAAGATTGGATGGACAACTGGAAATAGATGAATCTTTTTTCATCTGTAACATGAAGCAATACCCCTTCAAGGTATATCAATTATCAGTTATTTAAGATGGGGATGCCACAATGAGCTAATGTATGGTATTTTGAGTGCTCACATTATCCCTGAAAAAATTTCTGTCATTAGTATTGCTTAATTACATTCTGTTACAGTAAGTAAAACATTTGTTCCAGGTCACAATCGATGCGTGCCACCTGATGTGTTCCCAACTCATGATTCAAAGTACAGCTAAAACCAAAGAAACCTTATCAAATATACTAGCTGATGAAAATAAGATGCCACAACAGACATTGAGGGATTGTAAACTGACAGTAAAAGTTCCTGATAGTTATTTGTTGAATACGTTTTTCAAAACAATTCTTTCTCAGAGTCAACATAGGTTTATGGCTGAGGAGTGGGATAAAATTTCAAGTAAGTGTTTTTTGAGCCTTGCGTCAAAACGTTTTAATGGACAATTTTATACCAAAGAAATTATCAAAAATGATACTAAAAACAAAATTGTTTAGTATTACTTTGGTTATTTATTATAATTTGTATCCTCAATCAGCAGGCTTAGCTGGCAGAAATATGTTGAATGGATTGAAATAACACTAAAAAGAGAATGATGTACAGTAACATACATTTTTCCTCTGTGCGTTTGTCCCTAATATCAACCACTGTATTGCTGGGTAGGAGAGACTCCCGTCGCAAGTAGGCGTTAAATTCCTCAACTCTCCCAAAATTGAATACAAGTTACAAATATGTCAGTGATGTTTTGACGAAGCTTTTATGATTGTTGTATGTGAGCTGTTTTGTCCATTAAGTGATTTATTACTGAACAGGATTTGGATAGTTTGTTGTTAAGTTTGAGTAAGCTGTTTTTTTAAACGCTAGTTTGTATATCTTAAAATGAAAACCGAGGTTAATGACATAAAATATCATGACTTCGCATTATTTATGATATGCGCAATATTGTTATTTAAGTAAAAAAAAAAAAAAAAAATTCAAATAATGATGACAATTATTCCATTAACACAGTTTTACATTGTTTTTGTGTGTTTGTACAGTATTATGTATTCTATTCCATGTTGGATTAACCGTTCGTGGTTTCCCTAATCCCAACTACCACGGATAATCAAGGTTCTAGTGTACTAAGGCCACGAAAAATTGAAGAACAGTGTTCAGCAGTCATACAATTTTTTTGGACTTTTTAACACCAGATGCTACTTTACTTTCCCTGTTCTAACAAGCAAGAATGCTTAAAAAACGGTTTTTAAATTATTTTAGTATTTTTTCTATGTGACTTAAAATGTGCAGCAATATTAACAATAACAATCATTATTTCAGATGGGAAAAAATTTAATGTATCTGCTTGTATATGTGGTGTTCCTGTGCTACTGAAATTAGAAGTGGAATCTAGAGAACTTATAATATCTTCAAGTTGTACCAAACTGTGCCATCAGATAAAAAAAGCTGTAATTGCAAGATTCAAAACGGAAGTAAACAACCACATTCCGGAAAGTTTAACTCTGGATTTACAGGTTAGCAAAATGTTTGTAACCAGTGCTTGATTTGTAAAAAATGAGGTGACAGAACTGTAACCTATTTTAAATCAGATCTGTACCTATTTATGCCAATCGTATTTTTATCTTCCCGAAAGAGAGGTACCTGATCTAAGTTTGGCCGTGTTTGCCCGCAAATCAAGCACTGTTTCTAACTATGCAAAACAATCAAAATAAATTAAGTGAAAAAGTGAGGGAATTTTCTTTTAATGGATTGATTGTGCATTGATCAGTTTTTATGTCCATCAGGAACAAAAATTCAGAGGGCACCTCTTCTTTATTACTATAGGTGCCGTACTAAATAGATATACAGGGCATGTTTTTTTAAGTAAGTACCGTTTTTACATTTCTCCGTTCCAGCGCTGCGATTGGCATTTTTGACATTTTCGCTGTGAATGGGCATCTATTGGTAAGCCCTAGCCGGAAATTCGAGAACAATCGGTCGTGTTTACATCCGGTTTCGAGCATTTAAATTGGTGCCGCCAATTGAGACTGCCGCCGACTGTGAAGTGCACGCTGTAATTAGATTTTTAAGTGCTAAAGGTGTAAAAGCCATGGAAAATCATCGACAGATTAGTGAAATGTATAGCGAGATCATTATGACTGACGGAATGGTACGCAAGTGGGTAAGGGCATTAAATAAAGCCCCACCAACGTTCATGATGAGTAACGCACTGGGCGGTCATTACTGTCCCCGTACCCAGTGCGTTGTTCATGAACGTTGGTGGGGCCGTCTTTAAATGCCCTTACCTACTTGCGTACCATTCCATCAGTCATAATGATCTCGCTATACATTTCACTAATCTGTCGATGATTTTCCATGGCTTTCACACCTTTAGCCCTTAAAAATCTAATTACAGCGTGCACTTCACAGTCGGCGGCAGTATTAATTGACGGCACCATTTTGAATGCTCGAAACAGGATGTAAACATGGCCGATTGTTCTCGAATTTCCGGCTAGGGCTTACCAATAGATGCCCATTCACAGCGAAAATGTCAAAAATGCCAATCGCAGCGCTGGAACGGAGAAATGTAAAAACGGTACTTACTTTAAAAACATGCCTCGTATACCAATCCTCATTCTTATAAAAGTGTTATTATTACAGGCTCTTTTTCAAACCTTTGAAATAGAAAGTTTGAAAGAAAACCCGAATATTGAAGCTTTGGATTCACTAAGGAAGAATGTCAGAGCATCAACTTCTGCACTGTTTTCTGCATGATTACAATTCAATGGTTGATGGATTAAAATGTTAATCTTTATAATTAAGTTGTTATTTTTATTTGCCTAATATTCATGTGGGATAAAACAGGGTTTTCATGGCCTGTTGAGCAGGGTTTTTGTTTTATTTGTGTGGAATGACTGAATTAGACTTAATATATTTTTTTACTCTTTTCCAACATTTTATTTGGTATAGCTTACACCATTTTGTTTTGAAAGACTATTTATAAAACACTCTAAAATAGTTGTATTTCATGTAGGTATGAACAGAAAGAAACTGCCGCTTAAATGTACATTCCAGAAATCAATCAGCAAAACATTTATTTATGTCAAAATTATAGGAATGCGTTGATCATATTTTTTTTCAAACTACCTTAACCTATTAATTCTGCATGAATTTTCTCACCCCACTGCGGTGGCAAACCTGTAAATTTATCCCAAGATCACATTTTTATTTGTTAAACAACATTACCGTTACAGATATAGTCACTTGTTCACGCTAGTGTTCTGATTAATTCCAGCTATAATTTTGCTGGAATTTCTACTGAACCAATTTTACTTTTCAACACTAGGGGATAAGGATAAACAATTTAACAGTAACATTATCAAATTAACAAACTTTTATTCACATTTGTAAAAATCGTATCAAATAAATAAGTACACACTCTTAAAGCGAACACACGCTGGCTCAATCAAGACTACTTTTGGACCACTGAATAACATCCGTTTGCAAACCAGGATAAGCTTGAATGGCTTTTTGTACCTGATCCTTCCTAAGTATAAAGTTGTACATTTGGTATTCCTTCAACCCACTGCGACCAGCCATACCGCTTACGGGAATAATTAACTCCAGTGCCTGGAACAATACAACAACTTGTAATGGTGTATTAGTTTGATTTTGTGTTAGATAGTTTATTGGAGGATAACCAAGATGGTTACAGGTTAGAGTTAAAACTTGTGCAGAGGGAGTCCGCTGGGTTCCAATTTTTGGGTCGGGCAAGGCCAACAGTTGACCCTAAGAGATTGGTTTGGACCAGAAATAATTTTCAGGCCAATCTAGAATTGGGTAATTGAAATTAGAAGTCTATGATTCAAGCTTTTATCCTCATGATTGAAGAGAGCGTCTGCAAAGATCGCTCGATATCAGGAGATGAGGATAACGTCCCAGAAACTGCGTAATATGTTTAACCAATTCCACTGTGATCGCTGGAGACGTAAACAATTTCACTAGAACTGTAGTAGAGGCTCACGATTTCTCTGCGACCACGGGAGATGTTTTAAGATGATGGAGATGACCACCAAGGATGTTCATGATCTCTCTCCTGCCGCTCCTGTTCAAAATCCTGATATTATCTCCCGCGGTTATGTAGATATCGTCGTCTCCCAAGGTCACGGAAACATTATCATCGTCATCAGAGATCGTGAAAAAAATCCTGATTATCTCCTGCGATCACGGTAAATTCTGAATAACTCCCGCAGATGTGTGGCCATCATTGTTATCTCCAGAGGTTACAAAAATGTTATCATCCTCATGCACAATTGCTGAAAAATCCTAAAAATCTTCTGCGGTTGTGTGGTCATCTCCCGCGGTTACTGAAAAGTTATCATCGTCATTCTGTGATCACGGTACAATCCTAAACATCTTCCGGGATCGCGTTAAATTCTGAACATCTCCTGCAGTTGTCTTCTGCGGTAACGGAAATGTTATCATAGTCATCCTATTCACGGCAAAAGCGTGAATATATTGACTGTACGAACTTAGTTTTTTTTTTTTAAGGTCATAGTCTTATATTTAAATACAAATCCCATATATTTCATGGCCAGCACAAAACTAAGTAAAATTCCCGGTTTTTTGTTTGGTAGATACCCTGTTTAATGCATTTTTAATAAAATTTGGACCACAAAGAAGTCTCTCATATTTTTCCTAGAAATATGTCTGCACAACTGTTCAAGTTTTTTCCACTACTGTTTCAAGGGATACCTCCTTCCCCTGTCCGGTCCATGAGCACCAGACTTAACTAAAGTATCACTGAATATGTGTTTAAATAGAGTTTTATGCCCTGTAACTTTGTACCAAGTATTGTAGCTCTATCTGCATTATTTTTAAAAATATTTAACTGTCCTGGGACTTTTTTACCACCCTGTATAAATTTCCAATTGAATCAACCTTTTGAGGTCTAGGTGACATCCAGCCACTATAATGCACACAAAAAAAGTAGCATACTATTACCAGTAATGATATGACAAATTTGGTTGTGATATCTCTTTTCGTTTTAAAGTAATAAAGTCGTCCTAAGACTTGATTGTCACCCTGTATAACTGTAGATTACTTATTTTGCACACGTAATGAGTGCTGCAAAAGTATCCATCCATTTTTGTACAATTTCTGGCGGATTAAAAAAGAACTAGAAGAGTTCAGGTGTCTGAACAAGAAAGTGCTACACGACTCAGTGGCGGATCCAGAGGGGGGGGCGAAGGGGGTGATCCGAGTATAGAATTTAATATGTCTGTGATCGATGCTTTTATTCTCGTGATCAAAGAGAGTGTCTGCATAGATTGCACGATCGCAAGTGTTATTTAATTTCAGAGTAGTTGTAGTGTACTTTGTACTTAAATACTTTAGTATATGATTTTTTTCTTAAATAAAATAATTGATTGATATATCACAACAGTTAACAAGACCTGTAATTTCAAATTATGCTTCAGTTTTATTTATTCCTTTTTCACCAAACATAGGCGAAATACATCCATGGTATGAAACAATTTTTTCCATTATCTTCTTACCTGAATCCTTTCAAATGCTTTAAGTATAACGGATCTTTCACCTATCTTGACACTATGTGACTGCCTTGCAAAGTTGAGATATCTTTGTAAAATCATCTCAAAGTTGAATGGCACTTCATCATACAGCTCCATTTGATGGCAAATAGCTATCACCTATAAAGGAAAATCATATTACTACAGGAAAGTCTCCAATCGTTAAAAGAACTGTCCTAGTTTGGTAAAAAAATTAGCAACTAAAATCTTCTCATATACCTCTCGTAGATGATGTACACTGCACACAAAGTGATTTTTAAAATGTATAATAATTAAATACGATGATGCAATAGACATGGTAAATAATCATCATACAGCGTAGGGCAGAATGGATTTGGCACTTTGACTTGTGTAGTACTATGGCTGAGGAGGGGAGAGAAGGACATATTGTTGGTATGGTCGCTCACATAATAAATTAGTTTTAACTTTAACATGGTTTGAACTGGTAAAACATTGAGGTTACGCTGTGTGTGCTTATTTCAAAAACTAGAAATAAAATCAAAAATGATATTGAGTGCAACAAAATATGATTGTCGGTTGAAAAGTTTGAAGTGGTAGCACTCTACTCTAAGAACTGAGAAACGCAGACGACGCAAATAAGTGAGAACACCGGAAAATGTTGGGTTTGTCACGGCAGTGGTTGAGTGGTGCCCAAAATTTTCTGACAGGCATGCTATTGCATTAGGAATGTCAGATTGTAGTTTGAGAACAATTGCGTACTTTCATCTATATAAAATTATGATGGCACAAAAATTAATAAAAAATTATATTGAAAAAAAAACGCAAAAACTTGTGATAAATGCTTGCGCAAATTACTTGTGAAGCAGTGTTGTTTAAGAGGTTACAACCAGGCACATTTTCAACTCAATGGGTTGTGACTGTTGTGAGCAAACAGGATTTCCGCCATTGGGCTGAAATCCTGAGCATAATTTGTGAAAGACAATGCATATGAGTTCAGTTCTGTATTGAAACTCAGGAGTTTCAGGTTAGATTTTGTTAAGAAAGAGGTCAAAAAGGGGTTACAAATTTTAAAAGTTATGTTACAAGTTTCAATGTGAGAAAACTTGTTCGAGCCCAAACTTGATAAAAATGCTGAAGAGCATGAAAAGGGAGAGTTATGGTTTCAACAGTGCAGAGCTGTAGCCACACTACAGAAGCTGAGGACATTGCTGGGCATTAAATGTCTCGGGATGTGAAATGGTTAGCACATTCCCCTGATTTGAGATACTAGAAGAAGATAGCATTAATACACAGACCTTACATGAGCTCAAAGACCAGATAATTGAAGAAGTCATGAGTCGACAGTCAACACCATTTCACGTGAAATGTGCATTATGAGTTGATAAGAGCTTTGGAGAACGTCTATCAGTGTGTGATGCCGATGGTCATAATTTTTGAGACATTTTTTTTACTAAGTAAAAATTAAAAGGTATATTCTTTTTAAATAAAAAAAATGTATGTATGTTTACCACAAATCATCAATCTCCTAAATCCATTCTTGAATTAGTCTCAATCTCAATCCACAAACGTTTGAACAGCCCTGGCTTTAAAACAATAAAACCGTAAGTTTGTGCGAGTTTGCTAATCTGTATGGTATCTTAGGAATTACAATTACCAAGCAAAGTTCTAATGTTGAAAGCCCCTGAAGAATAGACACCTTGTCATCTTGAGACCAGTTCTCATAACATTCCAACACATCTTCAGCAGTTAGTGAAGCGCCTGTGGTATTGGAGACAGACAGTTGGCTTACAAGATACAACTGGAACAAGATCATATACAGATTATAGTAGGTTTTATATAAATGGAAGAAGATGGAGAGGCCTAGTAAATACCCTGACCTGGGGATAACCGGAACGGGAGAGAATATAGCCTATATATATGAATGTGTACATAATATACGGGGTGTTTTTTTTTCATACTTGCTTCTTTATCCATGTAAAAACTGCAATAGGCCTAGTTAGAAATATGCAGTTTGCGGGAATCGTATATTGACTTAGGGGCCGCAATTGTGAATTTAATGTGAAGTTCCCACTTCACCCCTTTCTCCCCCTACCCTAAACTTAAAATTTTTGAATTGCAAGGTACCCCTTTTGACATATCAAATGTGAGGGCATGAAAAAAGAAAAAGAATGGCACAAACTAGAGATATCTACGTCAATCCTATGAAAAGTTATGGCAGTTGAAAATTTGAATTTTTTGTCCCTTTTTTTTAGAAAAAATGTTTTTTTTAAACAGAGCCGTTTTTAAAAAAACGGAGCACAAAAACGGTAAGAGCTAGCAAAGATTTGAAATTAAATTTTCTGCAAAATACTCTTAAGCGTTTTCCGAAAATTGCACTCCTTCACCTTCAAAAATCGCCCTAATTCTAAAATTTGTAAAATTTCTCAATTATTTTTATGTTTTTTTTATTGAACAAGCATGCCAGCTAGTCAAACCTTTGAAAAATGCTCCCACTTTTTCAAAAATGGCCACCATTGTCCAATATGGTGACTTACTTTAAAATTTCTGTTGGATACCTTGTATTGTAAGATTTTCTTAGAATGAACAGTTGGTACTCGTAAACTCGTTTATGAGATACAGTAGTTAGCCTACACCTTGGAAAAAGATGGCTTGTGTGTGCATCCTGTAGCTCCCAAATGAGTAAGTTTGAATAGGAAAAGCGAAGATTATTTAAGTCTTAAAATTGCATCTACATTCTAAGAAGATCATAAAACATGTTCCAGTACTTCTAGAAGAAGTTTTTAAGTAATTTAAGTTATGTTAAAAAAGTGGAATCATAGTAGGTGTTTTATTTAACTAGGAACATTTATTAAAATCCCAATTATCACGGACAGCTAGGTCCAGAACCATGGACAACTTTGGAACAACCCAGATACTCAGCTATAAGGAGGCTTTTTCTGTGGAAGCACAACCTGTTGTGCCTCTGTGAATACGATACTGCAGTGCTTTGTTTAATTGTTAAGCAAACTAATAAAACAAAGTTGACGTTTCAAAATAGTCATAGGCTAAGTTATTCTTAGGCTAACCAATGTGATGCTTACCAAAAATGATCGAAATGATTTCTCACTAATATCATGGAATAACAGTTTTTCTACAACTTCTTTCACTTCACTATTGCCACACAAATTGTTCACCGAGGAGTTCCAGTTTTGGACGAATTTATCTTTTCTCCGACCAGATTCACTTTCTATACACAATAATGACTTAAACAACTGCATCCTTTCTATATCTGTTGGAGCAGGAAGCAGAAGAATCGTCCTGTGGGAAAATCGTGACTTGACTCGCTTTTCTAACAACTCAGTGACGTCTATGCGTGTTGTCATTCCCACCACACAAATTGGAGCCTGGAAAAGACAGGCCAATTAGAAAAGTGTTTTGGATTTTAAACAGTATAACTTACTTGCTCCAGTGGTGCACAGATCGAACTTTGTTCAAAAGTAAATATGTGTGTGTACTAAATACTACATACTACCAAAAAAGCAAGAGTGTTTATAAGAATATTGCAGGGCATAAAATAACATGTTAAAGTGTCGCCCAGTGCTGAGATTTTGTTGCCCAGTGACTATGGGTGGTGCCGGCATATTTTTTTTATTGATTCATATTTTAAATGTATCGGAATCAATTTAAACAGTATTCTAGAGCGAAAATTGCACATTGAGGAAACACGTTAAAAATCATATTCTGTCATAATTATATCTACAGATAATTACAGATTTTTTTTACTCGCATACTTATAAATAAATTTGTATTACTGTACAACAATTATGGTTTTGATTTTTACCTGTATAAAAATAAGTGGAAATTTACAATTTATTAGTATTACACACCCCCCGATACCCCGGTAAGTCTGGCGCCACTGTCGCCCAGTGGAAATCCCTTAAAATATGCTCTGGAATATTGTAAATGTAATGTAAAACCGATTAATATACAGGGTGTCTCAGACCACCTGGCCGGCTTGTATAGCTCCAATATGAAAGCAAATGGAAACCTAATTGCAACTGGAACCCCCTATTTTGACCCCAAGGAATTCAGCTAAATTATTTTCAACCCCAAAAAAGCACCCCAAAGGGCAGATTTTGGGGGGTGGGGGTGGTTTTTGGGAAATTTTCAAATGTAAAGGGGGGTCGTGTTATACCTCTTTTTAAAGGTCCTTTAGTCGTGAGTATTTTAGTGGAAAAAGATTTTAATTATCTCCATCCCTATTTACAGGGTGTTCAAAAACGTACAAAAAATATACCTTTGAACTACTTTTCACTGTAAAGAGGTGGAATTTCGTGGGGGGTTCAAATTTTGACAACACTTTAATTAATAAATGAGCTTTCAAAAAACTCTGGTTTTAACCCTTTTGCTATCTTTTTACTTATGTTACGCATTTTCAAACTTTTTGAAGTTTCAAAAGCTGTTATCTCAAAAATTTCAAATGGCAACATGGGTTTAATTACAAACCACATTGTAGCCCTTGAAATTTGCTATAATTTTTGTATTTCATGTTTTTTGGTATCTTCATTGGTTAAAGAGATATAGCGAAATTAGTGTATTTTAATGTTTTATTAAATGGTATTCAAAGTGTTTGCTGTTGTAAATGTACACGTCTAGGTCTCAATTAAAACTAATTATTTTAAAAAATTAAAATACTACCCAGATTGTTAAACTTGGAGGATTAATAAAGGAAAAAACGCAACTGCAAAAATTCTTAGTTATTTTACAATTTACAAAGTTCTAATAGTGCTTTGAATGAATACTGTCTATAAATGCTACTGGTAAATAAAAAAAATCATTATGAAATCAATGAGCGTGTGCGTGAAACTGGTCACGTTTGATCAGATAAAACAAATTATAAGGAACTTACTGGATCCGTACGAGAGGTGAATGCACCTGCGGTAGTAAAATAGCAATACAGTACCATAATAGTGGAGAAGAAGTTCTAAGTGCATAAACAGAGTTGGGGTTTGCATGGAACAAAATGGAAGGCAATTTAAGCATTTGTAGAAGTCCATCGGTATGTAGGCTATTAATGCTGATTCAAACAAATTATTCATTCAAAGCACTATTAGAGTCATGGAATTGTAAAATAACTAAGAATATTTGCAGTTGTGTTTTTACCTTTATCAATCTTCCAAGATCAACAATCTGAGTACTATTTTATTTTTTTAGACAAGATTTGTTTTAATTGAGACCTAAAGGGGTACATTTGCAAAAGCAAACACTTTGAATACCATTTAATAAAACATTAAAATACACTAATTTCACTATATCTCTTTAACCAATGAAGATACCAAAAAACATGAAATACAAAAATTATAGCAAATTTCAAGGGCTACAATGTGGTTTGTAATTAAACCCATGTTGCCATTTGAAATTTTTGAGATAACAGCTTTTGAAACTTCAAAAAGTTTGAAAATGCGTAACATAAGTAAAAAGATAGCAAAAGGGTTAAAACCAGAGTTTTTTGAAAGCTCATTTATTAATTAAAGTGTTGTCAAAATTTGAACCCCCCACGAAATTCCACCTCTTTACAGTGAAAAGTAGTTCAAAGGTATATTTTTTGTACGTTTTTGAACACCCTGTAAATAGGGATGGAGATAATTAAAATCTTTTTCCACTAAAATACTCACGACTAAAGGACCTTTAAAAAGAGGTATAACACGACCCCCCTTTACATTTGAAAATTTCCCAAAAACCACCCCCACCCCCCAAAATCTGCCCTTTGGGGTGCTTTTTTGGGGTTGAAAATAATTTAGCTGAATTCCTTGGGGTCAAAATAGGGGGTTCCAGTTGCAATTAGGTTTCCATTTGCTTTCATATTGGAGCTATACAAGCCGGCCGGGTGGTCTGAGACACCCTGTATAGTACATTTATAAAGTAATATAATCCTATAAATAAAACTGTGTACTGCGTGTACATGCCTCATAACCACTAGTAAATGTATGTGCTACTTGTGGCCATGCCCAGTATTGCGTTAGGGAGTTAAAAACTAATTTGAAAACCTTTTTCCTTTGTGGTCTTCTGTAAGAGAAGTCTGGTTACTCACCAAAAACCCATTTACTTCTGAAATGGATACTTTCAAGGCCATTTTTAACTACCTAACCCATTTTTGCACTTTACCCTCACTCATTGCACTAGCACCGTAACCTTTAGTCATCTGGCAATGAATGTCGGCATCAAATATGTTTCTTGAGGTCAAAAAACTACCCACTGTCATCATCTCGCATGTAGCGGAAGATTCAATAATTAACCTTTCCGTTCATAAATTATGCCAATAAGCGGTTTGGAGCCTTGTTGCGGCAAATACCAGAGCTATATGCAGAAACAGCCCTTACTTAAAATAAAATACAACCCTTTAAAGTCTATTTACAAATAAGTTTGGCAGGTGTGGGCCTAAGCAGTCTGTAGGGAAAACAGTTGACCAAGATCTCTCTTCTCAATTGGCTTAAAACTGAATCTACTTTAACGTTCATAAAAACATGCGAGTGGTCTGCAACTCCAGTTCAGTATAGATTTAACAATGTATTGTACTACCCCACATTTAAACTGAAAATAAGGGTCTAGGCATGAGGGCTCTCTAGTGGGACCATTTCTCTTTATAAATAAACCAAAAGACCTTAGAACATCAGTAAGGTTCTTAGTTTTTAATTTGGATCGCAGTAGGATAATGGCATTTCTCTACTTGGCCCAAGAACGTCTGAATGTTACCACTAGGTGAATAGTATTGAATCCCAAATTTGGTTCGTGTGCCACTTGTGGTTATGGCTAATTTTCAAACACAAATACCTAGTAAAGACACTCCAAAATGCCATAATGTAGTGTACAACCACCATTGTAATAGTGCCGTATGGTAATAACTGGTGGTGCACGTCATAGTTCTGGGGATTACGTGTACTACCATTAAGTAAAACTGTAAAAGTCAGGGGAAAATTTGTTGAAGAGAATGTTTTAATTGAAGTTATAATGTAAGAAGTAGCTTGCTTGTAGCATTGTAGGCGTTCACAAACTTAAAATATAAAAAGTGAATATAAAGCTAGTACTAAAAAAATGTTTGTATTACCAATCATAGTAGAGTTTTGAGTTTTATAAATTTCCTATTATCAATGGTGATATACCGGGAAGAGTAAACATTGACCACGCACAACAGACTCCCCTTTTCTGAACTTGGTAAGTTTAGCCTCTAGATCAGGGGTTCTCAACCTTTTTATCTCCACGCCACCCTTGGAATCTTGAAATTTCTTTGGTTTTTGATGTAAACAAAAACAAAATATTCACCTCAGTTTTGAACACAGTTTCTGTCTAATGTAAGGCTACGTATTGCATAGTATTAATTTCTCAGTATCACAAAAATAATCTGTATATTTAATTCCCTTAGTGAATCAGTTCACAACATAGTTTACTAGATTATTTAAATATATAAAAAAAAAAAAAAAAAAACACAAAAGACTCTTTATGACTCTAAAACCTTTTAACATACACACTTTTATTGGATAGCCTACATAGTGTTCAAAATACTTACATAACTTGCTTGTGCTGCCTCAAAGAGGTTGTAGAGTAAAGTTTGATTTCGGTGATAACAAAACAAATGAAACTCATCCAGGATAAAAATCACAGGTTTGGATGTTTCTTTATCTCCGGTCTTTAGGCTGTGCAAGAGGAACAACAAGTTGTCTGAAACAGGCATATTTAGTTGTTAGATTAGTTTAGTACTAGTATGACAACTAAGTAGGCCTACTGGGTTTGGAGTTAGATTTTGGAATTTACATGTAAACTTCAGGTATTTAAACCTTTTCTAATTAGAGAAATGACAGGTCCATATTACCAACCCATCTTTACTAATATGACAACAGGTAATAGATAAAGAAAAAAAAGTGGCTGTTAAACTTATTAAATAGGCTAACTAGTTTATTTAAAAAGAAGTATTACCGTATTCTTATTTTTGAATGAATTAGTTAGCCTACTTCATGAATTTAACAGCTCCAGTTTTTTTTCTTTTTATCAAAAGGCCAATATCAAAAACTTTAACAATGTATTAGACAGATGGTCACAAAAAAAATTAATAATTTTTTAATTTAAGTTATGCCAGGTTCAGGGTCACAGCCATTATGCAGAGCGGAGGAAAGTAATATAGTAGCACAAACCAGCTGGTTACTGTCACCAACCACCAACCAACCAGTCACCAACCAAACCAAACCAAACCACCAAACACCAACCAGTCTGTCTACAGAATTGGTGGGAATATCGGCTTCCTGCTTGCAACATCTACAAGAATTTTGGGGTACCTGTTGTGAATACCTGACTTGTTTTACTGAGTTGCTTCAAACACACCAAAGCTTTAGAGTTCTTGTGCGCTGTGGAAATTGTGCTTTAAAGTTTTTAATGACTGTGGTTAGGATTTAAATAGATTGCTTGTATTTTTATAAAATTAATAAAAATTAGTTGTCTTTGTCAGTAGTTTCATGAATGGTGGTAAAAGATTCCTGATACATACCTGAGAAAGATCCTGCTACTCTGTCCCCTTCAAGTTCATCCAGATGAAGCTGACCAATGATTTCTTTCAGTGCCAAATTGTCGTCCATGTGGACCAGCCCATTTAATTGCACAGTAATGAAGTCATTCTCAACAGTGTCTTTGAACGATTTCAGTGCACTATTGAGAAGCTGGAAAGAAAAGAAATTTAAAATGATAAGGGAAAATTGTAAAGCGAATGGAACTTAACTACAAATTAAAATAATAAACAATGTCTAGGAAGGTGGTTGTAAACAAACCTTGAACATTCTGTATTCTATTTAGTGAATACTATAGCTTAAACTTAGTATTTAATATTAAAAAAGGTGAATCAATCTGGGTTAATATCGAGGGCGGATCAAGTAAAGAACAGGATTTTGGTTATAACCAAATGTATTTGATTTTTGCTATCTGATAATATTGTTTATGGGTTATGCACTTATGCACATTTCTTGCATCGGACACACTTTTCTTTGTCAATTGAAAAAAGATGTTAATAGCGGCTTACTCATTATACCACGGAGATTTAATCAAAGAACACAGTTTGTATTTGGCACGAGCGCCAATTTTCCTTCACTAAGTTTTTGGCTAGGCCTACTATTACGAGATTTACAGGTGAGACCGAGCTAGAACAACTTATTACCGATAGTGGACGAAGTAAAGAACACTATATTGGTTTTATATTTGAACTAGCTCTCTAGGCTGCTTCAGGAGTTCAATGGAGACTTTGATTTACAGATAGACCTTGTAAATTAATGTTGAGTTTCTCAATAAGCTTATTTTTTTTACAACAAGTTATTAAGTTATGTTAACTTATAGCACTTTTACGCAGAAGACTTACCAAGGTTTTTCCAACTCCTTTGAATCCAATTATCAAGGCAGAATCACTCTCCCCATATTTGATAGTTCTTTCCAAAACATATCGCAATTGTTCGTATTCTTTTTCAAAATGGGAAGAAGACAAACATGAGGATAGTATCTGATTCTTTAACTTTCTTCTCCAAGAAAAGAAATTTGAATATGGTTTATCAGAATTTTCACTAGGCAAGTCAGGCTTTGTTTTCAAATTTTTCATGTTGAAAGTATTTTGCCCAATTAATTATTTCTGAAACTGAAAAAGTTTGTCACTAAGTTATGAAGAAAAATAATTTAATAAATTCATCAAGTAAGTTAGGCCCTACATTCAGTTTTTCTCCATAACTTAAACTTAAGTTCAAAACTTCAAAGCTTACACTAGCCTTAAGTTAGTTTAGCCTAATGCGTTAAGTTCTGAAATAATAAAATTTACTTAAACTTAACGTCAAAATTTAATCTTTAGAGCACCAAAGTAATTTATGTAGGGGGAAAGGGAATCAGAAAAGGGTACAGTTTCTTAACTGGGCTACGCTAATATTGATTAAAACTATCGAATTGAAAATATTGATTAATAATTGATATTTTATATTATATCTAGGCCTATTATAAAATTAAACTATCATAACCTAACCTAACCAACCAAACTTGCTGATGGTGAAAAAATCGCATGAAGGTTTACTAATCGAATCGATAATTTCAATCAATATTAGTTAAGAAACTGTACCCTCAGAAAAATGTACAGTATTTCTTCCAATTCCCATAAATTATGGTGATAAACAGTTGTTTGCAAAATATAAAGCTTAGCTCTTATGTTGGTGACAGTGCAAACAAAGGATAAGTTAGGTAGGCTTCTTAACTTACACTCTTGTTCTGCAATGAACTTTTTTTAGACAAAGGTTAATATGGGCTAGGGTACTTGTATTTTTGGTCATTTTTGGGAGCTTCGTTTAAGTTATAGGCTACTGCTTTAATGTAACTTAAACTTGAGAACTGATTGAGAGCTACTGTAAGTTACGTTAATCTACCTAAGTGAATACTTCTAAAGTTTTGTAATACTTTAATACTTTTTAGTGAAATGGCGACCATACAAAGTAGGTATTTTAAGCCAAGTATGAATGGAGATGAGTGTAGGATGAGTGGCGCGATCTTGTAGTCTTGTTCTTGTTAGTGACTAAGGTTGACATATTCCCTAGACACAGCTGTTAATTAATAGCCCAGATACAGCTAAAGGCAACTAAGGGACCTACAGTTTATAGAGGAATCCGAACCACATTTTTGCCTTTGGTATAAGTTATACGAATTGGTCTAATTATCAGGATAGTAAGTTACTGCGGATAGTTAATCCACACCAGGGAGTATCGCATCCACAGTGCATGCCTTTAAATATCCACAATTCGTGAATCGTGACGTGACCTCCAAGTAGCTGGATAACAGGACGACGCCACCCGTCCCAGTCTATTATTAAGTTATAGTTCAACAAGTTTTTTGGTTAGCTTATTATGAGTAGGCCTAGGCCTAGTTTAGCCAAAAATAGGGTTAGCCTAATGTTTACAAACACAACTAACTTCTAAAACATGAAAAACATTTAAAAAAAACTCTATCCCTCTCTCTCTGAGGCCCTGCCCTGGTCTAAGACTGATGATTAGGATTAAAAAAATAATCTGGTTCTGATTACATTAGATCACTAACTTACCTACTTTACAAAGTCCACAACATTCTGCGCATAAAACATCTAACATCAGTAACACCAATTAGGCTTAGTAATTAACTTATTTAGGTAATAATGATAGTTGAAAGATCCATAAGTTAAAGTTTTTTTTTTTATATTTATATTTGTTGTTTACGGTTTAGGTTATGTTTAGTTTTATGCAACGCACTATGATGTTAGTTTATGTCATACCACATACCACCATTAAATTACCTCACCATTATCCCGCCAAGGCGCCAAAATGTTTGGATTGGATTGGACGCGGTTGTGGATTCAGTCCAGTCCAGTACCAGTCAGCCAGCATAGGCACAGACAATAGGTTAAAGTATTATATTGTCTGTGGCATAGGTCTGTGGCGCAGCGCGACAGCAGTCAGTCCGTTCTGTTTCGTTTCAGTTTCAGTCAACAACCAACAACTCAACTCGGCAGGAGAAGAGCGACAGCCGAAAAAGCCGGCAGCGAATAGCAGAAGCAGAAAGAATCGAGTCGAGAGGGAAAACTTAATGGTCAACTAGGATAAGGATAAGAAGTGATAATAATATGAGTGGTGTTAGATCCAAAATGAAAATTAAGGTAAGATCACTTATCTGTAAATAAGTGTAATTTGCTATAAGCCTGTACATGTTTAACTTAGTTTAATGAAGCAACCTGTCCTAACAATTCAGACCAATTTAACTTAAGCTAGGCCTAACTTATCTAAGGAAGAGCCTCTGTAAACTGTACAGGCCTAAGCCCACCTCCTCTATTCTTTTCTAAACCGATGTATATATTAATAATAATAATAATATGATGATAACGAATTTAACTGGGCCAGGCTAAGGCCGGATGACCAAATAGGCTATTACATTTTGGTAATTTTACCTACCTACATTTATCACAGCCGATACCTACTAACTTAACTTAGCTAAGCCGCGTTTACACCGGAGTTTGAAACACGAGTTGCAAATGGTAAAGATCAAATAAGGGAGTTGAAAACTTTTTTTTGCAACACTGGTTTCAGTCACTATGTGCCATTGAAACACAAAATAGAAACATTTCTCCGCCATCCCCTACGCTGCCCCCTCCACCATGGTTACCATATGTTCTGGCTCACACCCCTGGGAGCGCTGTGTAGCTACGTAGCGCTAAAGCTGTAACTCCCAGCAGTGTGTGCCAGAACCTATGGTAATTTTAATTGCAGCACAGTTGACGGTCTATATTTAATTCTTTTTGTCTATGCCTCCACTTTCACTCACGTGATCACTCTCACCACCCTGTGTCTCGACTCAAGTGTCATTACATTACCCTCTCTAGACTGTTACTAATCTTAGTTACCTCGTGCTTGTTGTGGGTGATCGGTGGTGAGTGACAATGGAAAATTTATTGAGTGAAATGGAGTGGGGAGATGACAACATTCTAAATTAATTAGCTTGTACAGTAAGCAGTAAGTCCTGTGGAACCAAACTATTTCCGATTACAAAAATAAAAACATGAACAACTACGCATGGAAAGACATTTCATTCAAAATGACATCCTCAACACTTGACATCTTCGGAAGGACTGATCCCAGGATCCAGTACATAGGTGAGTAATAATCAACGTCAAAAGTGTTTTAAACATTTTCATTAAACATAGAAATAAAACCACGAAATAAAAATTGCAAACTTTTATTTCAAAATACTGTTTGCAGCTGCTGCTGTTTGCAATAAAAGTTTGCAACGTTTTGTTTAAAACTTCGGTGTAAACGCGGCTTTAAGGCTCAAGTTAACCCACAGAACTAATCATTAAATAGGTGTTTAAGAAGTTGTTAAGAACAAGAAGGTGTTTTAGAAGTTTTAAGAAGGAATCAAAACAGCAGCACCATTTATGTTTAGTATTGTTTATATGAAGTAGAACTTAACTTTTTTAATTAATTGATAATGTAATGTCTTATCTTAGCAATAATTTAATATGTCATCACCATTATCCCGCTAAAATGTTTTCCGGCAGAACAGCACATAGAGGTGAATAGAGCTATGGACAGACATAGTGCAGCTTTAATTAAGTGGGGGCTTGGGTAGACTTCCGTATCTGTCGTCAAAAACAACCGAATGAAACAATCGATAGATGGATTATTTGATATATATCGATTATTTCATTCGATATATCGTTTGGTTGGTTAGGTTAGGTGGTTATGGGGGAGCGAGCTGGTCTAGTGGTTAGAGCACCGGACTCCGGTTCTTGGGTCCTGGGTTCAAATCCCACCAAATCACCAATGGATTTTATCTAAGTAATAATGATTTTCAAAAAAAAAATAATAAATAAAATATATTTAAAAAAAACTGTTTTGATTGAAATTTGTCATGGTCTTTATTATTCTAAACAAAATAGTGCAAACTCCCATTCCTGTAAAAATTACAGTTGAAAAGTTAATGCAACTTTTGTAATTGTACCTACCTATAATTGTTATGTAATTGTAAATATAATATACATCTTACCCAGGATAAAGGTTGTTGACAAGCTAATGGAAGAAAGTATGTGGCAGATCGCTGATACAGTTTATTTTAGTAGGCATAGGTACTTGGGAGCATTCCGGAACATAGGCTAATAATATAGTAAAATGAATCGGTACAATAATTGGTAGGCCTACTAATATCTATTTTAATTGTGACCATTTTTGTTGCGACCAATAAAACATGAGGGTTGAGCAAAGTCCAAATCATCCAATTGTTGTGATGAATCGAGGTGGATTATTTTAAAATAGCTGCATTATGTAAGTTAGTTGAAACAACCCAATTTACCCGTTGAAATGTCCAGCTAAGTAAAACATGTTGTAGGAAGGAGTGGTGCTCGTAATTGATGTTGGAGAGGCTGTTGGTAATCTTGTTGGAAACGGAAAAAGCTTCTTGGAGAATAGCAAGATATGCGCCTCAAGGATTATCCAGCGTAAAGTAAGTTTTCCATGAAAGTAGGCCTAAATTAGATATTTTAGATTTTGTTTTTCTGTATTAAACTGATTTTAATAAAAATCATAAGACAAAACTCATATTCACCCTGAACAATAGTTACCAGTGACTGTGGTTAGTATGCAATACACATTTTATTTATTTATTTTTTACGGTTACACCATTTTTACAGGGTTGACATGCTCTGTTTTTTTATGCCTGATTTTCAAAATCGCACCATCAATGTTATCTTTGGTTTCACAAGTCTGTTTGAACCTAAAGTCCTATGTATGATCAGTGATGGGCATGGATGAAAATCAAATCAACAAATGCACACAACAGAATAATGTCGGTTGCAGAAATGGTTATTTGAAGTTATAGTGTTGCTTGTGTGTATTTTTTAGTATTGCAAGAATTACTGCACCAAAAATTCACATAGGTCTAACTCTTTAGAAAAATATTCAAATAGGTTTTTGTTGTTTAGAAATTTGGTATAGTGTAGTAGATTTTAAGTGGGAACAAAACAAGCTTCGCCATTGGCAATACAGTAGAGTGTTGACTATCTGACCTTAACTGGATTACTTTAATGCTTTGTTCTGAAATGGCAACCATACGAATGTAGGTATTTTAAGCCAAATATGAATTGAGATGATATTAGGAGAGTAAAAAAATCACGGAAAACAAATAGGGCCACAAACCATAGCCATCTCTAGTATAAGGCCGCGGCGAGCGAAATCTGGCAACGTCGCATCCGAGGCATAGTCCAGCCGGCTCCCGCCATTAGTTTGCACAGACAGACGGCGCATCACCGGTGATTAACCTGTTTGTTTTACACAATTAGAGACAATATGGTATTCGTAGTGACAGTGTGTTATGCCTCATAAGTGTGTCGTGCCGGGGTGTAAAAGTAATCACTTAACACGTTCGCTGCGGGTGGGTCAGTACTGACCCACGGCGATCGAATCGCTCATGCTGCCGGGTCAGTACTAACCCACACTGCAGTGAATCAATATGTTGCTCAGTGCTAGCCTAGCGTCAGTCGAAGGTGGACCTACACCACGTTAGCGTGTAGTGTGTGACTTGCTTTGTTCACCGTTGAGTTGGTTCCCGCGGCCCGCTCCCGCCGTGGCGGCTGGGTCGGTACTGACCCACATTACTGTGAACGCCCCTCGCTTTGCTACTTTTTTGTGCTTTATGACGTCATATTCAATTTCAATTAACTTTTAAATTATTTCATTTCAATAATATTAACATTTCAAATTTTTTATATCTCTCATTTTTGTTTAGTATTTAATTTTTTTATACTCCGGTTCTTGATGGGTCAGCACTGACCCATGTATATGACGTCACATTATGAAGTCATATTCAATTCCAATCAATTGATATACTATTTTATGTTGGTTATGTTATCATAATGACTACCCCAAAGCAGAATGGTTCCTACGTGTCTGCAACGGCCTGTGAAAACCTCAAAATGTGTCTGCAAGCGCTAAAACTAAGAAGCTAAATAATGACTTATATACCGGTATATATATATATATATATATATATACCGGTGTATATATATATATATATATATATATATATATATATATATATATTCACTCTTTAGGGCTACTAGTAATATAGTTAAATAAAATAAGAAAATTTCAATAACTTGTATAGCCTACTTTTAAAACAAAAAACTAAAAAACTATTAAGGGGTAGGCATAATCAGGTTATTTAAATTTACTTTTTTTTTTATACGTATATATATACACATACCTTAACAAGTGTTAACAAGGTCTTCAGAAGCAAAACTTTAAATGTACTATAGTTTCTTTATATAAACACACTAGGGATGGACGGGATTGAAATTTTAGTTCGGGACGGGACGGGACGGGATTTTTATTTCCTTCCCGATTTTCGGGACGGGATGGGACAGGATTTTTTTCTGTGCATTATTGCAGTTACCAAAAAAGACATACGAAATCAATTTTTACCATTTGTGGCACTGATCTATAAAAACCAAAAAATGGGTAACAATTTACAGGTACCTATAGAAACTTGTGACTCGCGGCTCACAGGGTGATCGTCTGTAGAACTCACGGTCACGGCGCGATCGTCGTCATGACTCGCGGTTACGGCGCGATCGTCGGTATGACTCCGCGGTCACGGGGTTATCGTCAGTATGACTCCACGGTCACGGCGCGATCGTCGGTATGACTCCGCGGTCACGGCGCGATCGTCGGTATGACTCGCGGTCACGGCTCGATTCTCAGCATGACTCCGCCATCACGGCATGATCGTCAGTATGACTCCGCGGTCACGGCGCGATCGTCGGTAGGACTCTGCGGTCACGGCGCGATCGTCAGTATGACTCCGCGGTCACGGCGCGATCGTCGGTAGGACTCTGCGGTCACGGCGCGATCGTCGGTATGACTCCGCGGTCACGTCGTGATCGTCGGTATGACTCGCCATCATGGCATGACCGTCAGTATGACTCCGCGGTAACGGCGCGATCGTCGGTAGGACTCCGCGGTCACGGCGCGATCGTTGGTATGACTCGCGGTCACGGCGCGATCGTCGTTATGACTCCGCGGTCACGGCGTGACTGTCGGTATGACTCCGCGGTCACAGCCCGATCGTCGTTATGACTCGCGGTCACGGTGCGATCGTCGGTCCAATAATCGCGGCCACGGCGCGATCGTCGTTATGACTCCGTAAATGTGTCCGCAGGCCCGCGTTTCTCGGCGTTTCGTGTCCGCGACAATGTCGCAGCGTCGCTCGTTGTTCTGCTTTGGGGAATGACTACATATATCTTTAGAACATATATTTTTAGTGACATATATAATGTATTCAGTGACATTTCCATTTTTTCTGACTCTGGCTCCTGATGGGTCAGTACTGACCCATTATTATGACGTCACTTTTTGACGTCATATTCACTTCCGATCGTATTATATAATATTGTATTTCAATAAGGACACAAAAAGGAATGTTATACAACAATAAAATTTTTTAGCAATACAATTCGATTTTATAATTTCCTTTAGCAGTGAACGTGTTAAAAGCATTAAAAACTGAGGAGTATATACAAATTATTTCACTGTTCTTTAGAAGGTCCGCATCAAGATGAGTGGATTAGAGCTATAGCCTAAATTTAAACTTAATCAAGTACCACGTTCTGATTAAGAAAATACACATTTCCTACTTGATTAAAACTAAAGTAAAACATATTGGATAAAAAATGTAAAACTAAAATATTAATAGTAATAGTTTGAACAAACAGTTTTTGTACCTCTTATGTATTATCAAAATGAAAATTGATACAGATAATTTAAAATATTTTCAATAGGCAAGATGTTTTCAAAGTCTTGCGCAGTTGTGTTTTGTACATTTTATTATACATGTATTGCATACATTTCCTATGCATTTAGTCAGAGGTGTAGCAATATTTCTTCTACCTTAGTACAGTTCTGCATGAACATTCAATGACAAAATTTTGAAATATAAAACAACTTTGCATATCTCGAAACTAAGTTTGAAATTATAATATCACCCATATATTAATAGGCAAGTGTGTTTAAAACCTTTTTTCTCAGCTTGTGTGCAACGCAGAGAAAATATACGCATACTATTAGAAAGATATTTTCCTTTAAATGTGCAGAATCCCTTTATAAATGTAAATAGACAAAAAATAACATGGGCTGCCATGCTGGTGACAAAATTACAAAGAAATGAACAGAAGTAGTAAGAAAGAAATCTAATAAATGAAATTCCAATAAAATGTTTAATTTACAACGTGGGTGAATAGATAAGTCTGAATATTACATATTTTTGGTCGAGTTTTCGACAACTAGACGACCAGTTCATAATAAAATTAAAAAGAATTTTAAGGGAACCTAGGCCTATTGGTAAAAGTATATATTTTCATAACTCATTAGGTTCCAAAATGGTTACGTTTACGTTTACGGATATCGCTTGTGCATTATGCGCAACATATATTCAGGGTTGGAATTAAGTGGTGGATATACGTTTATATAAACATGTATTAATTAGTATTTCGTAATACAATCTGAAAAATAGTAAGCAGCATTTCTTGCTAAAAATTAATCTATTGATCTGGCTACATTTCCATAGCTTTAAACGTGAATAAGCGCAGTTTTGGCGAAATGTTGCACGTTTTAACGCTGGCGGTAATACCCGGAGTTGGACCAGGGCGGGGATGAGTCGCGGCGTTGCCACATCGAAGGCCGCGGCCTTATTACTAGAGACGGCTATGCACAAACCCATCTTGTCAAAATTATATTAAAATATTGGAAACAGTAAAATGTATGACAACTCAAACACTGCTCTCCATTCGTGCCACAACTAAGAAGTGAAGATTACTAATGAAAGGGTTTACAAGTTAACAACCTGTTTGGTATAAAATATAAGTTATTTTAACGGTTTGGTGATATGCAGCTTGCAAATACAAAGGGAAAGTACAGCCAAGTGAAGCGCTTAACGCCTGATATATCATCCGAAGACAGTCAGAGCAGGCTTGGTGCACCTGCTACATTGTAGAGCATACAGTCATGTTACAAGGGAATAGCAGGCATTTCATAGTTCATGGTCGGTACAAAAGGATAACATTGAAGGTTGAACTTAATCAAAAGATGAAATAATTGAAACTCTTTTGTACAATAATTTAAACATATAACACATCTGATCTTATGCAACCATGTGAAATTTAATGAACAATTTTGTTACTTTCTGGATATTTGTGAAAGCTAACACATTGAGTTACATTATTTTTTGCAGATTTTTGCAAATTCTCAAGATGAGTTTGGTCTTGTGTTGATTGGCTCAGAAGAAACAAAAAATGAACTCAACTATCCAAATGTATATGTGCAAAACTCATACTTTAGTTGTGCAAATTGGAACTTAATGAAGAATATCAGCAATTTGACTGTCGCCAAACACAGTGGGAACTCATCTAACAGTGATTGGCTTGATGGACTTATTGTTGCTGTTAATCTATTGAAAGAGGAATCTGAGTAAGTTTATTTTTATCGACTCTGGTTTTAAATATAGCCACAGGTGTTTGCTATGTGAAAGTTTGCTTTCTAATTCACTCTACTGACAAAGCCCTCAAGCAATGATATCTCTTCTTAACACTTAAATAAGGTAAGAAGTCTTTGTATCAGTAGGCTAAAAAGAAATTGACCCGTATACAAATTAAGGTTTGATTTTTTAGTGGGAGGAGGGGGGAGGTATGATACATGTGTCATTGGGATTTAGATTTATGAAGCATACAAGAGGTAAATGTTTAAAACTAACAAGGTAACATTGAAAAGAAGTTGAGCAACACAAGTTAGGTTATCCTTGTTGCTTATCATTCCTTTAACACAGCATCACATACTTAATTGCATATTTTAATCTAAATATGAGTGAAGAATAATTTAGTAGAATGAGATGCATTGACAAATAATGAAACTTTATAACAGTTGTCTTTGGCCAAGAATCCTATATATTAGGCCCTAATAGTAGAGGTGTGCGGATTTCCAAAAAATCGGGTTGAATTAGGTTCAGAGCCCAAATTTGATATCCAACCCTATCCGTTAAATATCCAATTTTTTTTATAGACTATGTTTTGGACTTATATGACCACTATAAGACGACTGAGACATTGCCTTGCCATCTTAGTAAGTACTTGAACGTCAAACTGTCCAAATCCGAACTTCTAATTATCCTAACCAATCTGAACCGAGCCTTAACTATCCGAACCGAATTTGATTCAAACTGAAATTTCACCATCCACACACCTCTAATTAATAGGCAAGCATATTTTCTTGAAAACTTTTTCTCAGCTCATGTGCATCGCAAGGAAAATTTACGCATACTCTTAAGATAAATTTTCCTGTAGGCTAGTTGTGCAGAATCCCTTTATAAATTAAAGAAGGCGCCTTTTGGGTTTCAATGCTGGTGACGAAATAATAACAAAATATAAACAGAAAATCAAAGCAAATGGATGAAATTCCAATCACATGTTTTATTTACAGCGTGGGGTGAAAATAGGGAAGTCTGTACACTACATATTTTTGGTTGAGTTTTCAACCATTGGACAAACTCTACTAATTAATTTATTAATAGACTAAGTTAATCAGAGGACAACAATGATTCAGATTGAACCACTAAAATTGAACTCTCTTCTCTCAGAATGGAATCCCCAACCTTTTGTTATTTGAATACTTCAACTACTCACCACCCAATGGTGTTTTATTTTCTGTTATTAGATGTCACAGATGTTTAAACTCACTTTAAAAGTAAAAAGACAAGTTTCACTAAACTAACTTACTTGTTATACTTAACTTACTACTTTAAGTTAACTCTTACCTACCTATACTTTTTTCAGGTGTAAAAGTTTCAGTACAAAGAAAATAGTGTTGATGTCCAATTTCGCAACACCGGTTACATCTATTGACAATGTTGATGACACAATCAAAGCCCTGAAGGATCTTGAGATTGGTTTGGTTGTCATGTAAGTAAATTCTTGTTGCCTATCTATTTTGACTATTTTGTAACAATGACGCTATTATTTGCGGTTAGGCCTACAAGACCAGAATCCAGTTAATCCAAACTATCTACGACTGGACTCAAGATAAAGATTACCTTTGTTCAGATTACAATTTCGGAGTACAATTTCTGTTTTATTTTGTATACTGGAAACTTCTGATAGTATTTTAGAACATAAACAGTCATCCGTATAAAATAGGACTAGTAAAACAAAAATTTAAAAATCAGATTTATACAAAAATTTTGGGACATAGATCAGCTAGGCCTATTGATTTTTGCTATTTGATTTTTCACGTGTCAGTGAAAATTTTGGGTGAGGTTTCATGAGGTTCAAATAAGCACCGTTTCACAATGTCCAAGTTTCACAAACTCCAACGGTTATTTCACAAAGTCCAACGTTAATATATTAAATATAGGCTATAGAGCAGTCCATAATGTCCAAATTTCATAAACTCCAAAAATATAACTTTTAAATACTTACCGTTTCACAACCTCCAACGATTAGAATATTAAATAAACACAGCGGTTCATAACCTCCAACAATACAGTCTCTGCCAGAAGTTGCTGCAGAGGTTGCCGTGGTTCGGTATGTAGGCGCTACTTGTTCTTGTGTTGTAGCGGCGTGTCACGAAACATCATTGTTGGTCTTTAGTTGATTTGTTAAGAGTGTAAAGTATTGGTATTACTACCCCTTCTGCAGCAAACCTGCAGACTAATCGAATTTCCATTTTCCTTATTTGATTATAGAACAATGGAAAATGCTATGATATACATTCTTTTAACTTTTATATTTTTAGTGGGCCAGAACTTGAAGATGGTAGTAGCGAGAATGAAGTAAAATCGCCAGCTCAGAGAAAAAATGAAGCCATCATCAGTCGAATTGTTGAAGAAGTGAGTACAGTACCGGTAAGGTCCATATAAAAAAATAATATAATAATTGAATATTCAAAAATTATTCTACCATTGACTTGGGGTACTGAAGTAGTCACTATAGGCCTATATAGACAAAGTTGATCGATCCTCATCACTTTTAAAGTAATATTTTATTTGTTACTTATTGCATGAAAAGCAAAAATGGTGTCATAGTTTCTCTTACACAAATTGCTCACAGAGCCCGAAAGTTCAACCAGTTAAAAACTCTTTGAGCGGATGGATTCTTTTTGTTTATTTATCAATAAGACAAGTAACTACAACAGTGGAAACTGGACTGTTAATGTTGTTAATAGAAGATAAACATTTCCTTAGTAAAAAGCAACTTGGAGCACTTGGTTGTTATAGGTGCTCTACTGTAACATTCTTGATCATTTTAAATATTGCCCAAATCAATGCTTTCAGACTGATGGTGTAACATGTGGATTTGATGAGGCCATGGTGCCGCTCGGACGTTACCAAAAGATACAAACCAGAGCTATGCCGTGGAATTGTGACTTGCAAATTGGATCAAATATATTTGTGCCGATTGTTGGTTACAAAAAGGTAAATTGACAATTATTTCTTAAATGATAGTTTTAATTGATCCAGTCCTATTTTCTTATTTGTAATCAATTCATTCGTACTAGTAATTTAATTTTATAGGTAGCCTACTTTTAGAAAGTTATATTGTAACACAGCCTTTACTCAAATGAAATTAGCTGTGATGAATATTTCATTCTCTTCAAATTCTATCTAGGCTCAGGCTGTACAGCGGGTGAAAAAATTATTTCTAACTAGGTTTGAGCTCGTTCGCTGCGCTCACTTGCCTTCAGGTTAGCTCGTTCGCTACGCTAACTGGCCTCCAGGTTGAAGTTCGTTCGCTACGCTCACTCACCTTTTGGTTGCAAATTAGCTGTTGTCATAAATAAAAAAAAAAATAATTGTGCTGCACCCTGTTGGTAATCCTTGTAACTTTAATGCTATTGTACATCATAGAACAGAACCAACTTGGTTAATTGAAACAGCTGTTAAGATTCATTAATTCCTTTTAAATATGAAAAATCATAAGTGGTTAACATGGGAAACTCCAGAGCCACTGGGGCGGAGCCCGAAAGCCCGATCAGAATAAAAACTACTTAGTTTTCCTATTTAATGCCCAAAGAATTGGTGTACCGAATTTCAGCCCCCTAGGTAAATGGGAAGTGGGAGAATTAGTGATGAGTGAGTGAGTCAGTGAGGGCTTTGCCTTTTATATATTTAGATGAAACTGTGGAATCAACGTTTTACATCAACAGTATGGGCCCGAGAACTGTTTTGAAGACAATATCATACTGAGCATTCCTATGTATTTGTTTTGAATTGAATGAGTTTTCTTAAAGTCTAAATATGAATTGCATTGTCTAATTCATTTCTGGTCAGAATGTTGTAAGTTAAGGCTGCGCTCTACCCGTCTGGCGCTTGCACATGCAAGGGTTTTTGATCTTACTGTTTGTAACCCCATTTGTAAACCAATTTAAAAGATTTTTGTCACATTTTTTGTTAAATATTGTTGTAGTTTTGCCGCTTTTTAAATTTTGATAACTTAAAAAATCTTGGGCTCAAAGGTTGGTATAAATGTAAATGTTTTTATCATACTTTTTAACGCATACAAATAACTTTTAGAAAAAACATAAAAAACGGGAAAAGTGTAATAGATTCTTAAAAACAATAATCTGCAGTTAGTTTAAAAACTTTAAGGATGACGATATAATCACCCAGATTTGAAAGGCTTGCAAGCGCTCTTCATGGCGCTGTTCAATGCAATGGTATAGGGTCATCGGCGTTCAGCAACCTCGTATTGAGATATCGGAGCTGAGGTAGAGCGCCCACATAAGATCCTTTCCTACCCCTGTAAATCTACATACTACATACAGTAGAACCTCGCTAATTCCAGAGGATAGTTTGAAATTTAGAGAGTTTGAATTATAGAGGTCAGAATAAATATAATTTGAATTATGGAGGTCCCAGTTTTAAGTGTAGAAAGTTTGAAAGAACAGAGACTAATGAACACATCATGGAACATCAATAAGAGTGTCAGTTCATGTTTCAACAAGCATATTTTTTGTTCTAAATTCAAATTACAGAGGCTTACAGTGACGCAGTTTGAATTGTAGAGGTTGACTTTGAATTTCGGAGGTAATAATTCGGATTATGGCAACAAATATATAGAGGCTCAAGTATGTACAAATTTGCATTGTAGAGGCTGCAATAATCGAAAAAATGACTTTGAATAATCTTATCATTATATTATTTTTTAAATTTTAGAGGTTTTCTAAGGGTAACAGGCAAACATTACTAATTATAGAGGTTTTCAAATTATCGAGGTTCGAATTAGTGGGGTTCTACTGTACAAATAAATGCATTTTTGCCGGCATTGTCTATTGGAACTTGATTTTTCGAAGATTGAATGTTAAACTTTATTGACTCTTGTTTTAATTTGAGAAAAGAGAGTCATTCGTTTTTTTTTAAAGTACCTATTTAAAGAAACATTCAACTTATAACCGCATCTAGGAATTTATAAGTGCAGGTATATAGTTATGAAATGGAAACACATGGTTAGTTCACTCTTAGATTTGTTAAATTTTTTTTTCAGTTTGACTCCAAAAAACTGTTGATCTGGAAGAAGAGAAGTAGAGAGAAAAGTGCAATAGTAGAAGAAAGAGTTCACTTTGAGGGCGACCAGCAAGTAGATAAAGCAGATGTCATCAAAAGTTATACATATGGCCAAACTATCGTACCCTTCTCTGGTAAGGATTGTGACTGCAATAAATGTATCAAACTAATGTATTTCAAAGCTAAAACATGCATATCCTTAACTGTTCTGCTTATTTCCTTCTGAGTCTGGGTGGCAGCCAGGCTTTTTTTTTTCTTTCAATACCACCGTAGTTCAATTCTGTCTACTGTCTCACTGTCCTCTTTTCCACATTCCTCTCTACCTTATCAATCTACCTTTTTCTTTCTCTCCCTCTGTCTCCATCAACTTTATCAAATCCCGTAATCAATGTGTAATTTAAGTTTTAAATAAGCTACATAAGTGGAAAAATCATTGTTGTCATGCGGATTGCTCAACTTTCCAGAAGGCTCTGAAGTAAATTTCTCTTACTTCTGTAACTTAATAGTTTTGGTACCGTAAATTAATATTTATTTAGACTTAAAGATTTTTATATTTTACCATCGTAGTGCAGTCTAAAATATTTTAGCCTATTGTAATCAGAAAACATATTTTGTTTAGAAAACAAAAGTCCATTTGAAGAAATAAAATAACCAATTAGTTTGAACAGAACCTTTAAACCAGTTGTTTTAAGGAATGTTTACAAAATTTAGCTTGGAATACAGGAGTGCCAGTAACGTTTGTTGCTCATCATAGTTTTATAGCTTGCAAACTCCACCATTGAAACTCTCTCATTAGTAAGTACTCAATATGGAAACCCCTTAACACGTTGACTGCGCGTGCCGACTTTAGTCGGCATCGCCAGCGCTCCCAGGTGGCGCGCGCCGACAAAAGTCGGCACCAGACCAACAGAAATATATTGAGTCAGTGTGAGCTTAGCCTTAGACGGAGACGTTATAATCGTTGCCAGCCTGCCAGCTTAGAATGCAAGCTTTACTTTGGTGTAGGTTGGTACTAAAATTTCCCGTAAAATCCTGTCTGGCAATGCTTTTGTCCCGGTTTCGGGGATTTTTTCTCTTCAACCCACATTACAAAGACACTGGATACGGATCCGTGCAGTGCTGCTACCTTTGGGTGTTTCAGTGAACTACATCCACTCTCGGGGTAACGCAGCACAGTCACCACTGCTCTTTTGTGATTCGTCAGACTGAAATATTTGAATGCCAATTGCGTTCGCTGATTCGGTTGCGCGCCGGGGCTTCGCCCGCCACTGGGGAACGCCTGTAAAGTCGGCGCGCGCAGTCAACGTGTTAATATGCACAGTATTAATGTCATGGTTAGTCTACTGGAATTTAAGACAATCAAAATAGTTTCATTAAAAATTGGTCCGTTTTTTACTTTTTGCAGAGGACGACAAGGCTGCTACTTCATTACAGACTGAAAAATGTTTCCAAGTTATTATGTTTGCTAAAAAGGAGGAAGTTCCTATTCACATGCTCATGGGCGAATCTGTGTTATACATCGCTCCAAGAACTGGAAATGAGGTATGTCGAGGGTTAAGTCAGATTATGAATTGATATGCCCTTTTCACTTCCTTCTGAAGTAGTCTGAGATTTTGTATTTGTAACATTAACTCGAGGATGTAATGAAATGAAATGAAAAATCCTTTATTTGTTCAGGCAAAGTTAGAGCCACATGGCCTTTTCTTACACTTAACCTGACATCGATGTACTGACATTATCATCATGTGTATTCTTTTTGTACATTTGTTTAAAGTTCAAATAAGTTCAAAATAGTTATTTGTATAATAAGATCTCAAAGTGGCTATATTCGTGAGAAATGTTTATGGTTAACTGGCTGCATTAGAATGGTGTCGAATTTTTGGTCGTTGGTTCTAGAACTGTAAACTAAGTTAATAGGCCTAACGTAAAAATCGTAAAGTAAAATAAAAAAGTGTGTAATATTATGTTCCCAAACATACAATTATAAAATAAAACCAAGATATTTTGAATGTTTGGTGCATAAATTAGTTTTTGTGTTCTATGATTTTCCCTACAATGTGTTCACACTTTACAGGGTGCAGTTTCAGCTATGGTAGCCCTAGCTCAAGTGCTGCTGGAGCAACAACAGGTTGCTATTGTGCGAAAGGTTTATCGTAAAAACACAGCTCCATTAATCGGGGCCCTTATTCCAACATGTGAAACATCAAATAATCGCAAGTGTTATGTGAGTATAGAAATGCATTTTATAAAATACAATAGGATAAACAATGTATCTTTAGACTAGTTGCTAATACTACAGTGTACATTTATATTAGTGAAGGCCAAACTGGAGAAATATTCAGTATGATATTATCACGTATGAAATATTACGTATGATTTTTTCTGCAGAAAACTTCCGCACTTAACCCTTTTATGCTCTAAAGGATGTTACATCATACTAGAGTAACACAACCAAACTTCCATTTTCAGCTACCTATACTAGTGTAACTGCTTAAAGCTGTAGGCCTACCTGATGTGGTATACAACCTGGTAGTCAATCCTTTGTTTTGCGAGTATTAGTATGGGAAACTGTTAGGCCAAAGGTGTTGGTCTCCACAGTCAGGAGACAGCATCTGTGAATTGAGAGTTATAACCCTCACATGTGGTGTGCAACTCATGTGGCAGAGCTCGGTGGGAGATTCCCGCATGAAATTAACAACAGCTTCCGGAGTTAACAGGATGTGTGGATTTTTTTTAGTTACAACTGAAATTCGGGATTATGATACTTTTTGCTTGTTTCTACTGTGTGTGTGTTCACAGACAACTTGTTTTTAAAGAAAACCCCGAAATATTAATGTCATATAAAAACTAAAGAGCGTTTTTGTTCCAGTTCTTCTATTGGGTCAAACTACCGTTTGCAGAGGACGATAGACGTTTGAAGCTACCTTCGCTTAGACACATTAAACCAACCCAAGAACAACAAGATGTTGTAAAGAAGCTCATAGATTCTATGGATCTCTCACAACTGTTAGTATTTTGATTTTAATGTCAAACCCTAAATTTAGGTAGGTGTCTCCTAGATTAATGTTTGGAGATTTTCTAGGATGGGACTTTCATACAAACAAAAACATTGCTTGCCATTTTTAAAACCGCTACATTGTTTACTTTGTGCCAAAAATGAAGCTTGAATACTATTGAAATCACTAGAATATCAGTTTTCATTTTCAATGTATACCCTAAAAAATTAAAAATTTAACATACCTAGTTATATTGTTTATATGTTTATAATTCCACACAAAGTGGAAATTCAACAAGTTACAGGGTGTGTATTAACCCCAAAAGCCCTTGAATTTTAAGTGACTTGGAAAGAAATTGGGAAATATTAAGGATTTTCAGTGCCATTTGGGGGAAATCTAGCTCGAGCCAAGCTTTCACAGTCCCGATTGTAAAACGCATATTGCAACAGTTCATAAAATTTTGTATAGTTAAATAATATATAAATAGCCTATTACCAGTCAATTAAGCCTAAAAGCCTATTTAAAATATACTATGTTTAAAATCTATTTCAAACACAAGCTAAAGTAAAAATAATTATATATATCCAAACAAAATCTCAAAAAGTAATTTACCCAAATTAAATTTCATATACTATTAATTGGCCTAAGTGACTAAAAAGTAACAGTGAACATCAAGATCTAGAAGACCTGAATATATTGTTGCTGAAAAACATGTGTTAAGTAACAACTGGATTTCCTTCTTCTATCATGAACTAGCCTGATGAAAGTGTAAAAACTAGTTTGTATGATTTTTATATTATAATATTTTCTAGTAAAAAGTGAAAAGCTAAACCAATAGTCTAATTATTTCAAATAGTTTAAACAAGAAGAAATGTGGAAACTTGGAAGAAATTTGGTAATCTCCATCTTATTATTACAGACAATTCTATTTAAGTGTTGGACAATTTGAGAACATTAGCCTAATTCTGAGGTGGATCGAGTAGCCTCCTAGCTGTTAAAATCTATATTCTTGATTCAAGTAAAGACTTTTGTTTTAGAACAATCTTATCCAAATTCTATATAAAATTATTTAGTAAAAAAAGAAATCAAAGGCTAACTTTATTATCATAAAAAAAGTTTCAAATTAAAATAGGCTATTAGCAAGGAAATTGGTAATAAAAGAGAGTTCCAAGCACGAACCTAAAAACCCTGAGGTTGCAATTGGCGCCGCAACAAGTGGGGCTCTCTTATTGACCAAACCTTGCTAATAATACAAGTAGGCCTAGCTTATGTGTTTGAAATAGCAATTTTTAGGTTAAACTAAGAATAGCCTATAAGAGTGTTGTACTATTATAAAGGTACCTAAGTTAAGATTCCCCACCTGTTTCCCCTTTCATAATTAGCCTATCAGTCACCTGTTAGTTAAAGATATTCAAGATGACGAGTCAATACAATTTACGCCCAAACCCTAAACCCTCTAGGAAACTAGTCGAAAATAGCGGGGATAGTGACGATAATAATCAAGAAGACAACAACATTGAAATTCACACAAACACTAACACCAGCGATATTAGTGAAGATGAATCATGCACTCTAACAGCGAAAAGCCCTGAAACATCATCACAACAAACACACTTAGAGGACAAATCCTTGGACGAGCGATCATTCCACGGTTCCGAGTCATCAGAAATTGTAGCCCTAACCTCAAAGCAAACAAATTTTACTGACCAAGCCAACGTCCCGGTGAACGATGAACAAGGAATGATAGGAATGAATATGACAGCTGATAGGTCTACGTTCCTTACGACGGCAACAGAAACACAACAGCCAATCACAACACAGTTTCATGACGATCAATCACAGCGAGCTTCTCAACATGCTACAGCAAGCACCGTCACTCAACTACCCGACCCGAAACCCGACTTTATGACCCAAATTCAAACGCTATTCCAATCTTTGGATAATAAAATGATATCGTTGGAAACCAGCATTAAAGATGAAATAAAGACCCACTATAAAATCCTTGACACTAAAATTGAATCAATCACTGAATCACAAAATAAACTACAATTGGAATTAAACTATGTGAAGGAAAATCAACAAAAACAATCAGAGGAAATGAAATCAATTGAATCTAAATTAGCTACCCAAATTGCTGAAAGCTCCTATAATCTAAAAATGGACCTGAAAGCAGATCTAAATGCCCATAAAACTGAAGTAAATAGCTTAGTCCATACCCAAAATAAAATTATTAGGGAAGAGATGAGCCAGACTATGAATACTAATTTAAATAATATTCAAAGTCAAATTCAGGAAACATATGAAACACAACATAAACAACTCAGACACACAGTAAGTGAAAATACTCAACGGATTCAAGAACAACTAGAACCACAGATTAAAGCAAATCAAGACAGAGTTGAACAAAACATTGAATTAATAGAAAATATGAAAATAACACTAAGTGAACATCATAACAAGATTGAATCTCTACAAAACGAAGCCACTGTTAAACAGAGTACATTCACCCCTAACATTTATGTATCTTGTGGTAGCGGAACTAACGTTGACTCAAATAACGTACCTAAATTCACTGGACAAGCACACAACCCCAAAGAGTTCTTAAACAAACTACAAAAATATTACTGTCGCAATTTGGTTCGCCAGAGTCCCACAACCGACCCTAAAGAATTCTTAATTGATACGATAGAGATGAGTTTAGAAGGGTGCGCTTCACGATGGTTTTATCTTATCAAAAGTAATATTAATACATGGGATGAGTTTGAGAGCATGTTTCTCATGAAATTTTGGAGCCAATCAGTACAGCGTGGAATTCGACATAGATTGGAAACCGAGAGGTACCGTCCTGGAGGAAAACTGACCCGCTCAGAATACTTTATAGAGAGAGTCATAACGTTGAAATCAATGTCCCCACCTTTGACTGATAAAGAAATTATTACATTGCTAAGCGATCACTTCAGTGAACTAATTCAAGATGCTCGCATAGTACAGAATGCCAACACAATATTTGCATTTGAATCGATCCTCCAGCGTGAAGATATAAAAGACGGAAATCGCCGGAACAAACAAAACCATCCCCCATCACACAATACACCAGCGACAAACCGAAATGAACCAAGGCCCAACTATAACACACAACCACAAAACAGATATCCTGACCACACTAATAACATCAACCAAAATGCATACCAACCAAGATATGACATGAATTATCAACAAAACAATCGACCATATAACCACAACCAACAATACAACAACCGGCCAAACCAACAAAACTGGTTCCCTTACCCACAAGGCAGATTTCCACAAAATTCAAATAATTATCCCACTACGAACGGAAACCGAACTGAACCCAATTATATGACCCCAGAACAACGACAGGTCTGTACCACCATAATCGATAAAACCGACCAACTACATAAGTCGGATTTAAACTAAAGAGCACTGAGAGCAAAAATGGCCTACACACTACTTCCCCTCAAAATAATATTCCCTTAATTGTCTCTTCAGTGCAAGAAAATCCCCTCGGAAAAATAAGGCCAAATGTATATAATGAAATAAATAATTGTTATGAAACTGATGTTATCTGTTGTGACAGAGAATTTTTATTAAGTGAAGAAGATGAATCAATTAATGATTCCCACGAGATTAAACAAATTGATTTTCCAGAAATTAGTGTTAAAATTAATAAATTGAAGATAAATGCCCTAATTGACACCGGCTCTAATGTATCATGTATATCGGAAAAATGGTTCCTAGAAAATAAACACCACATAGGTCATTTTGAAGAATTGCCAATTACAAATACACATATTAAAACGGCTACGGGAGATCGATCTAAGCGCATAACTAAAATCATAATGTTACCTGTAATGATAGAAAATGAAGAAACTCAACTACAAGTTTTACTCATACCAAACTTAGTTAGGAATTTAATAATTGGGAATGATGTATTAAATATATGGCAGTTTGAAATGAATTTTAAAGAAAAAGTTATTAAATTGAAGATTAAAGATAATAATATTACTTTGAAGTTCGGAGAGGTATCTGGTGAAGGTATAAACTGCAATTTTGTATTTGAGCAAAGCCCAAGGCGAAGCATTGAGAACGAAAATAATGATGATAAATATTATGAAGATAATTATGATAGTACAGTATTAATAATGATATGAAAACAAACAACAATCTACATTATATTAATTACACTCCTAACTTAAATATGAGAAAAAATACAGGAAGTCTACGAAGGCGCATTCAAGATCAGTACAATTTTAGGGCATTCAACTTATGTAAGCACTCTAGATGATAAGAAGACATTTGGACCATACGACATTTCAGCACTAAAAAGATATATTCTTCCTCAGCCGAAGATACAAGTTTAATAATCAAAAGTATGTGAATGAAAAATAATAGTTTATTTAAAGAAAATTTTAAATTGAAGAAAATTAAATGACAAGTGTGTGTAGAGAGACCTTAAACCCGTGTAAATAGTTAAATTTAAATAAAATAGACACTCCACAAAGTGAATTAAATACCAGAAGAAATATGTAAATTGAAAACATAAAATAGACGCTCTGCAGTGTAATGAAATATTAACTTAAGAAAAGTGTGATGTGAGAAAAGATGTTAAGGAATAATAACTCATATGAACTATAATAATAGTGATGAGAAATTCATATTCCCCATTGTTCCCAATATATAAACAATAGTACTGTACTTCCTTTTCCTTTCTCCTATCTTTAATGTTAATAATTGTTATAATTTTGTTGTTATATTGTTCATGATTCAATAATTGTGTTGATTAAGTATTTGTATTTCAATAACCATGTTCCACCCATCGTTCTTCATTAATAGTTAAGTCTTCTTTTATTAAATGTTAATGTGCATATTTCAAATCAAAATTTAGTTCACTGTGTATCGAAACCTCATATTACATGTAATATTCAGTTTCTGCGGGGATATTGCAACAGTTCATAAAATTTTGTATAGTTAAATAATATATAAATAGCCTATTACCAGTCAATTAAGCCTAAAAGCCTATTTAAAATATACTATGTTTAAAATCTATTTCAAACACAAGCTAAAGTAAAAATAATTATATATATCCAAACAAAATCTCAAAAAGTAATTTACCCAAATTAAATTTCATATACTATTAATTGGCCTAAGTGACTAAAAAGTAACAGTGAACATCAAGATCTAGAAGACCTGAATATATTGTTGCTGAAAAACATGTGTTAAGTAACAACTGGATTTCCTTCTTCTATCATGAACTAGCCTGATGAAAGTGTAAAAACTAGTTTGTATGATTTTTATATTATAATATTTTCTAGTAAAAAGTGAAAAGCTAAACCAATAGTCTAATTATTTCAAATAGTTTAAACAAGAAGAAATGTGGAAACTTGGAAGAAATTTGGTAATCTCCATCTTATTATTACAGACAATTCTATTTAAGTGTTGGACAATTTGAGAACATTAGCCTAATTCTGAGGTGGATCGAGTAGCCTCCTAGCTGTTAAAATCTATATTCTTGATTCAAGTAAAGACTTTTGTTTTAGAACAATCTTATCCAAATTCTATATAAAATTATTTAGTAAAAAAAAGAAATCAAAGGCTAACTTTATTATCATAAAAAAAGTTTCAAATTAAAATAGGCTATTAGCAAGGAAATTGGTAATAAAAGAGAGTTCCAAGCACGAACCTAAAAACCCTGAGGTTGCAATCTTACAAATTCGCTAGTTTGAAAAATTCACACATTATCCGCAATTGCGGAAGACTGTGATGACGTTTCAATGACTGCAGATGACGATAATGTCTACAAATTGCGGGAGATGCTCAGGATTTTTTTGTGATCGTGAATAACGATGATAATGTTTCGGTGACTGCAGGAGTCGGCAAAAGAAAATGTCTACAAACCGCGGGAGATATCCAGGATTTTACAGTGATTGCAGAAGACTATGATTACGTTTTCCGTGACCGTGATGGAGATATTCAGGATTTTGCTACTAGTACGGGAGACTATGTTTTCGAGACGTTAGGTGATAATGATAATGAAAATTATCATGACATTAAGGATTATTATTTTTAGAAGACAAGATCACTGAACTTTGGAACAATAAGAAATATATACAACAAATGTAATATGAGAACAAATTGGTTTTAGGTTACGTTCATACAAATTCATGCAAGAACCTGAAAAAATTGTTAACACCGAGCAAAAAAACATGGATTTCTCTAAAAAAAAATAAGTGTACACCCTTTATTAGAACTTGTCCTATTGAAAGGTATGAAAGGAAATTTTTGCTTTAGAAGTCTAAGAGGGAATCAATGTATAGTTTCTTTGAAGAACTACATTGTAACTTTTGGTTAGTTGTGTGTTTTAAAAGCTTAGTAATTTCTAAATGAATTTTTTTTTATAAACCTACTACCTACTATTATTGATACTTATCCTACATCACGTTTCTATGCTTTTTTAGACGTTTAAAATGTAGAATATTGCAGACCACTTTCTTGAAAAAAAATTCTAATTTTACAAAACTATTTGATTTTTTTATCTTTTCTGTCTGATTTAGCGATGAAGAAGAGGATCCTTACAGGAAGCCTGTCAATCCGCTTGTTGAACATGTTAATGACCTAATTACGTTCAAAGCCTTGAATCCTTCTTCTGAAATGCCAACTCAACCTTCAGAAAGAGTCAAGAACATGTTAAAGCCTTTGCCTGATATACTCGCAAACGCATCTCAAGCCTTGGATGAAATAAAAAGACTTTTCCCGCTTGAAGAGGTTGAACAAAAGACTTATCGGAGAGCAGCAGCTGATATCTTTAACAGGTAATCTTTACACAGATTAAAATTAGTTGTAGTGAAACTGGGAACTTTGATGTGAATACTGAAAATAGCTTTGCACAAAATTTTGAATAACTCCTAATATATGTTATCATTATAGCACAGTCCCACAAAATTTGTGGAATTAATTTGGGTGGATTTAATCCCACAAAATTAATTAATGGCATCAGAAATCTCACAGATACTTTCTCCTATTAGCTTTTCATCTACCTTTATAATGGGTAAGGGGTAAGAGTATCTATGATAGGTAGTCTAAAGGAACAATCACAAAAGTTGCAATAATAGCTTTTGAACCAAATTTTTACAGCAATGGGTTGCACTATTTTGTTTAGATTATAAGGACCATAACATACTAGGTCATTTTAATCAAACCAGGTTTTTTTTTAAAATCCAATTTTCCATTTTTTTTAATGGGTTATCATGGGAAAATAACATAAGTTACAATAGGCCTAACCACTTTGTTAAGAATTTAAATCACTACATATTGTATAACATTCTAAATTTCTATCAAAATCGTTCAAGCCATTTTCAGTAATTTTATGGGTTTTTATTAGAAAATCACCATTAAAATCTTAATAAAAAAAAAAAAAAATATGCCTGGAGATACCATTACCTACATGCCAAATTTCATCAAAATTGGACTACAGGTGTGGTCTGTAGCACATTTACACATACAGATAGACATCACTTCGAAAACCACTCTTTGGGGTTTAAACGGACCCACAATGGATATCCATTCAAAACTTAGAGGCTTATAGGGTGAGAAATTAAAAATGAGCAACACACTTTTTAAATTTGAATTATTTAAAATATTGCATTTAGATAGAGTTACTTTTCCTGTTTTCCACAAATTTTATGGTTATGGCGACAACTGGCTAATGGACTGATTAGCTAGCGCTCAGGTTGTCTACTCGCATGTCCAGGTCTTGTCATCAGCAAGTACCGCTATGTCCAAATGGCATAAGAAACGTAGGCCTTCTGTGTAACACTTAAAGCTACAGAGTTCTATAATAGTTGGCCGCCAACTGTGTTACTTATGTACAAAGTCAAAGTAGAAGTACTCTCACACTCGTAATTCTTATCGTCACAACATAAATTACTGACAACAATAGTTCCAGAGATCCTTTAAACGTTTTAAACCCAAACATTCTGTCTTGATAAATTTGATCTGTGAATAGATTTTAAGATGGTGAAGTACCATTACAGTACAAATTACATGGCAAGCCAGTGAGTGGTGACTGTGGTATGATGTATCAAACAATCATTGATTATACCGAACCAATAACTTACTAAATTTAGGTCTCTGACTTATACAAGAATGAATACAATGTTTACAAAATGTTTTTTACTGATCTTAGATCCACAAACAACAATCCTGCTAATGTGGTGGCTCCTCAAGATATGGTCAACTCCGTCACCAGCTTGGTTCAAAGCACAGTAACCGAAGTTGGAACTATAGACCCTGAAGGAAACTTCTTGAAGCTATTGGATCAAGGAGCATCTTTTGGCTCCTGTAAGTGACAGCTTTAAGTATTTATTAGGATTAGGCCTACTACACAATTTTCCTTCTCTTGCTATTACATTAGACTCCCTCTTATCCGGACACCTTTTAACTGGACATCGGTTTAACCGGACTACACTCGGCAGAAATGACATCTCTTTAACTGGACAATTTTTATCAGCACATTGGCTTAACCGGACTAGATCGGCAGGAATTGGGCGGTACTGAAACGACTGTTCTCGTGGGAAAGATTTGAGACCTGTGATCATGTGTCTAAATACAATGCTCTCCTAAATTTATGTCAAATATCACAGTAAACGGTCCGTTTTAACAAGTTTTTGTGGACGTCAGTTTAACCGGATAACAGGAAGTCTACTGTAGTTGTAATTTGAGTAAACCCAATGAATACAAACTCTAAGAATTGAAATGACCATGTTAAAAGTACAACATGGGATTTTATAGTTTTTGCAAGTTTCCACGGCGGCCACTAGGTAGGAAAGGCGCCACTATCGCTGCTGCGCGGTGGCGACAATGGGACCCCACAGCAGTGTAAGGCAAAGAATTAGAGGGGAGAAAGAAAGAGGCTAATTTCGGTGGCAAAATCCAGTCTGACTTTTTCCCATAAGCATTTCGCTTCTTATAAGGTAACTAGCTGGCCCGACAGACGTCGTCCTGTCCTAATGTGGTTTTATGTCAAAAGCTCGTTCATTTTCAAGATGAACTCGTTCGCATGGCTCAATCACGTCCTGGTTGACGCTTGGGTTAATGCAATTAAATGTTCTATCAATAGTATTTTGTTAAGCTCAGTGTTATAAAGATAGATTTTATTGTAAATTGTTAAAAAGTACTGTAAAATTGGTTGTATTTTGAACATACAACCTACAATGGGTAATTGTGTTCAAGAGACAACTAACCAATTATTTTCATCAACTTTATAAAAGGTGAGTTTGTGCTAAAAGACACAAGTCTTAATGTTTTCATAGACATTTAAGATCAGAATGTCCCACAGAATCCTTGGTATCGTAGTAGAAATGTGGATGTAACAAAAAGGAGCACCCACTTTTAGAGATATGTGTGCCTTAATATAGATTATGATTACAGTATGTGAACAGATGAAAACTGCCATCAAAAAGTTGATATTCACCTCAAGCAGTTCTGTCGGGGCAGAAAAAGCCATCTCTGCCATGAAGTTGCTTCGGGAACGTTGTGTGTCAAGGAATCCTGTGTCTTACAACACTTTTGTGGCCTCTTTAAAAGATGACCTGGTAGAGAGAGGGAATACGGATCTCTGGGATGTCATCGTGCAAGGTACTGTTAAAAGATATCTTAAAAAATCTGTAGGTACCACAAACAAACGGAATCATTGCATTATAGTAAACTTCTTAGACTTTCCTAGACTTGTTAAAAAAAAAACTTTATCGTAATACTGCAACAGCCGTTTTAATACATGTTTTGCGGGTTTTAAGTATCTCTTTTACTCTCGAGGGAGTAAAAGTCAAGTTGTCGTTTAGACTCAGTTGTAGACTTCAATAATTGTAAGTAATCATATGTATTTAAATTATGTATTGGTGTAATGTTCTTATCGGTTGTAGCTTATTGTTGCATTCTAGATCGACATATCAATGGTATAATAATATACTTACTAACAGCAGCTGCTGCTTGTTTGAATTAGCTAAATTAAAAACTAGGTTGCAGTCTGTTTGAGAGGTTATCTTTACATGAAAATTATTCTTGTTTATATCTTATTTTGCTGGAATAAGTTTTAATAGTTGGTGCATTATGACAAAAATTATTTTTCATCACACGGCCAAAAAGTGTCTTCAACACTCACTCATTTTGAGGTCGTAAAAGGTCAAAAAGTCATTTAACACCTTAGTGATGGTTACCTACTATAAAAAAAGAATTGCTTCATGTCACCTTAAAATCAAAATTATATCTTGAATTAACATCAAACTAGTGTACATGTTGCTCGAATTCGAGCAATTGAAAAGTATTACAGGAGTTATTTCAAAACGAATAACAATAATATTCACAATGAGTTTAAAAGAGTCAACTCAAAGATATCGGTGTGTGACACAGACCGTGTTTATCTTCGTTATTGACAAACCTAAAGCATTCCGGCCGGTTTTCTCCTTCTAAAAATGCCTCGCTGTACAGGCAACACAGGTCATTGATAGAGGGCCAATTGAGAACGAATAGTCGTTTTGGAGTAGTGTTGGGGTGCATTTGTAACCTAATAGTTGAGATTGTCCAGGGTCAGGTGCTGACTGTGATGAGTTAAGCCTATTACGCGCCACTGTTCTGTAGCTGCGGTCGTTATTACGATTACGCCTCCTGTCTATGTTTCATTGTCGTCACGTCGGAATAAAAAAAAAAAAAAAACAACAAATAAACAAATTATAGCTACACAAAACAACGATAAATGCATAAATTTAAGATACAACCATACCAACACGATCCGTCTTGGGGGTTATGTTTACACAAACTCAAATTGAAAATAAACGTACTCAATGCGTTTTATTGAATTGAATAAATAACAGCAATTAAACTAAACAGCTGATCAAAATGTAAACAATTATATTCTCCATAAGGATAACATGGGAACTTTCAAAGCCACTGGGGCAGAGCCCAAGGGACTTTTTCAAAAATGTAAGGTCAGTTTGCAAATCTACGCGACACGCTCTTTCCAATGAGACGTCAATGGATAAAATCGGTTAAGAAATGGCGGAGGAGTTCAACCGACAAACTTTCGTGTAGCGTATTAATTATATAGATTCGCTCACATTGATTATTACCATGTAAAATAAAGGTTTTGAACCATCTTTATTCATACGTTCAGTTTCATTAGTGTCTAGTGGTTGATGCAGAAACCACTATGTTTATAGCCACCATGTTAAGAAACTTGTAGATTTTTATGAAACAGTACTGGTATATTTTTATGACTTATTTTTAAAAATTTTAGTACATTAAAGGTAAAAACTTGATCAATCATCAAAGTTTTCAGTGATGGTTTTAAATTAGATTCCCAGGGGTCTGACTTAGGGGAGGTACGATTGTGGCATTAGTTCAAAATTCCTCTGTGAACAGCGCTGTAGTAGAGAGCATTTTGGCAATGAAGGTTTACTAATCGCAAAAATAGTTCTGTTCATAAAATAAAATTATAAATGCCTCAAATTCAATTTTTTTATTATAAAATTAAAATTACTATCATAACCTAACTGAACTAAGCAAACTTGCTGATAATGAAATAATAATTCTGTTCATTAAATAAAACTAGAAATTGCTCAATTAAAATTTTATAATGACAATAATAAATTTAAACTGTCATAACCGAACCAAACCAACCAAACTTGCTGATAATGAAAAAATCTTAGTCAAAAAGTTAGTGCCACCAGCGGGATTCGAACCCGGGACTCTCAGCATATCAGCCCGGCACGCTAACCACCTAGACCACCGAGACCGATGGCTGAAAACCGTTTTGTTACGGTAACGGTGTTTCCTCTGCTAATGAGAAGCCCACAGCTGTCATCGTAACCTCATCTATACCTCCCCTGAGTAAATACCGATCCCCAGCTCTAGTAAATCCATTATGGTAGGAATAAACTTGAGCCTAAGATGCTTGCTTGATAAAATGTGTTCTAGTTGGTGGTGGCAATATTCCTGTCTCAAGTGGCTTTGTCATTACAACACTGTCTGTTACTTTCTGTATAGCCCTCGTATATATATAATAGTGGCTTTCCAGTTGTCAGATAACATTGGAGCACATACAGCATTTTATTTTTTTTGTCTTTTTTGCAGAGAAACTTGGTTTGATCACCTCAGTAGAGTCGCAGCAAAGTAATGTGAGTGCAGACGAGGCCGTAGTTTTCTACGAGATCAAAAAATGTGAATCTCAAAGTGAAGAACAATGTGAAATGGAGGTGGAAGATTTGGTAAGGAATTTATACTTTTTAAAATTTTTGGAAAATAATAGGTTTTTTTGTCATTTAAGGCACTCTGACAACTTACACATGTTCAGTAATAGTATAAGTTCGAGACAAAGTCGAGAACTTAAATCGATCGAGAGCTGCAAAACCATTTCGGCCCGTGGTACGAACGCTATTTTTCACCACACTATACCCTATTACCACTATTCACCATTAATGCACACTGATAGTCAACACAACGACAACTTTAAGGTTATGTAAAGAAATAATTTGAGGAATCAGCAAAAATAAAAATAAATAGTTGCTAGGCAACGGCGACAATAACACAATTCTATTGCAATGCTATGGATTTTGATTGTGTATTTAAAATGCATTCATGTTTTAAGTAAGCGGACAGCTGATTTTGCGGCCCCGCCCTGTAAAAACCTGCTCGGTCCCCAAATTTCGATGACAGCTGGCATGGCCAGCAAAACGTAACTTTCAGCCACCAATTAACGTATGTAATACAGCCAAAAACATCATAGTGTGGTGAAAAAAGATTTATTGAATTTTGTACACTTTTACTGTATGTAGGAAATAATTTCAATTGTGTGTCTTTCCACAGCTTGCTGAACTCTGATTGTTGGGGTTGACTGGGAGAAGAAACACTTTCAGAGACAACACAGTTTTGTTTAAAAAGACTTAATGCTATTTTGTATTTATTAATAAATAATTGTATTACAAGATATTCTTTTAGTCTTCTTCCATTTCTTCTTCATTTTCATTATTTCTTTCCATCAGTTTCCTATATTCTCGTACTGTTATCTTTCTTGGCATTATTTCTGAAAGTAAACCAATGGAGTGAGTATTCTTGACTAAACTGCATCAAATTTGTTGTCATTTATTTCCATTTTAAATTTCAAGATTAATTCCAGACTAGTTTTTTAACAGCTATGTGACTTGAAAAAATAAATGACCAATATAAGTGAGGAGAAATTGATCATATTTTAAATTACTACATTGATAACAGATTTTTAAAATTTCTATTCTGATTTATGAAGAAGAAATAAGAAACAACTTATATTTTTATTAATGTCCGCAGATCAGTTGGCTTAAAATTAGTAAAATTCATTGTTGTAGCCCCGGAACTGTAATATTTTAAAATTAGTGATGTGTCAATAGAAAATTGATTACCGTAATTCCCGATACCAATACCTGAAAAATCAATTCTCGATATCCTTTTTTTTCTTTAACAAATATTCTGTGTGGATTGGCTATACTACACCAATCCTTTTTTTATGTACTTACCTTAAAGTAATTTTTCGGTAATGGGGTGTTTAAAAAGTAAAGACAAAAACTAATGCAGCAATGGAAAATTAACCAATTGAAAATTTTACTCTTCTAAACAAATTAAATAGCTACCATATCAAAAGTAAATAAAGAACTGACATATATTGGAACATAAAGAAATTTTCATTATAACTAGATGTGAGTTGACAACCCTGAGCTCGAGGAAATATGGTGATTATCTCCACAGCCGTGGAGACATTTATCTACAAAGTCGTGAATAATTCCCTCAGTCACGGAAACACTATCATCGTCCTCCGCTATTGCGGCAAAATTCTGATCATCTTCCGCGATCACGGAAAAATCCTGAATATCCCCACAGTAACAGAAACATAATTGTTGTCTTCTGTTATCGCGGCAGAATCAAGAACATCTCCCGCGGAGGTATAAAAACACAAAAAAACTAAATACTATTGCTTACCTCTCAGGAATGTCATGTTTTCACTTGTTTGAACTATTTCTGCTAATTGCTTGTAATCTAATGTGTTGGATGAGTTCTTTTCAAAGGCATTCTGAGACAGATGTTGAATGAAAAGTTCCTGAAAAATCACAATGATTAAAAACTATTGTTTTTGGAACCAAGATATCCTGTAAAACATAAGTGTCTTTAAGACTATTTACGTGAGTTACGAACACTACTTTACCAAAGTTACGACTGTTTTATTTGTTAATTACTAACAATCACTAGACTACTGTACTCATAACTTCTAAGAAAGGTTATGTTTTAGTTTATTTTTAACCTCTCATTGCCACTGACAGTGATGCAATGACTCATTGTACAAACCACTAATCGCACCACATTAACAATTAAATTGGCCTTAACAGCTGATTAGTTAAAGTTAGGCCTATACAAAAAATAAAAATAAACCTCAGCCTAACCCAACTGTATTATTGAAAATAACTAGCAATAATAAATTAATGCAACTATGGGTAAGTTACTATAATTTGTTAAGGAAAGGAATATTTAATCAATAACAGCAAGTTAGGCCTACAAAAGTAAATATCACTACGATTGGATATGAGGAAAAGTCGATTAACTTAACTCTTAAGTTAGCCTAACAATTTGACTGGTGGAATATTACCGGTATGGTATATGCTTAAGTTATGTTTTGACTCAGCCTATGGTAAGTTACCGTACATTTTCTGTATTGAATGGCCGAATAACTTAAATTATTTGATTTAATAATAAGTTTAGGCATCAAAGTTAAGCCACAAAATCTTAGAGTCAAAGATTACTTGGCTTAGGCAATCGGCTTTTATTAAACAACAGTTCTCGATATACCTAACTTAGAGGCTTGCACTAGGCTTTAAAATGTACAGTAGGCCGGCCTACTTGCATCAAATTTCTACGGGTACCTACTTACAGTTCCGCAGAAAACCTGCAATGTGATAACTTATTTGTTCATATAAGATATTGATATAGCCTAGGTCCTAAGCTTAAGTTAGCCTATACTTAGCAATAATAAGTAACTAGGTTCAATCGCTTATAAAATTTGTTTCTGATGTTAACATCAAATTGGTGATTTCTTTACCTTTTTATTGGTGTTTAAAAAAATGTAGTTTTTTAAACATAGAATTGAGTAAAATAAGTTATCCCCAAGTTAGACCTAAGATAATGGATTGTTTAAGTTTTTATTGATGTTTAAAAATGCAACTAAGAACGCTATTAATTCAAATTAAAATTTAAAAACAAACATTACCTATACCGTAAGTTTTTAGGCTTACAAAACTTATTGACATGATTAGCGCAGAGGGTTCGAAGATGTAGGCCTATAGGTAGGTAAGGCCTAGGCCTAGTTTCTTCCATTTTTAGTTGTAGGCCTACAAATCTAGGATAATTTTAGCGAAGGATATAAAAAGAAACAACTTTATTAATGTTCTTACCTATATTAAATTTAAATTTGATGCAATATTAATATCAATGCAGAGGATTCGTGCGTCCGGTAACCAAACGTAGATTAAGTTAGGCATCCGGCAGTGACGTCACTGGGTTGTGGGGGCGCTGAACATCATTACCACAACGATAAGTACAATGTACAACCATCGGTGTTTGTGGTGAATAGAGTACTCGGCTGATGTATAGGTAGCCTAAGACTAGTTCGAATCCCATAGGTGACACTAACTTTTTATTAAAGATTTTGCTTAGAATGCCATTTCTTCTTAACTGTACATCTTTTGTTAGAATTTAAGGCGTTTTTATTTTATGAACAGAATTTAACCTTCATTCGATTTGTTTCATTATCAGCAAGTTTAGTTAAGTAAACTTAGTAAGTTAAGGTTAGGTTATGACAGTAACTGCCGGACGCCTAATACACATCCAGTTACCGGATGCGTATCCTCTGCCTAATATCAAACCGAATTATTATTGATAATAGGCTACCGTATCGATATTTCATCCAATAATTTGTCACAGGTTCTCTGCAGAAACTTTTACCTAAAAAAAACTAGTAAGTTAAGACTAATCAACTTAACATGAGTTCACATTTTTAGAATTTAGAGCCTAGACCTACTTAACTTACCGTGGCTCTCGTCACCAGGTGCAATGCATCTTGTCCTATGTTTTCAACGTCTGGCGAACTTTTCATTATCAATTTAACCCTAGTCACAGGTAATTGCAAATCTTTCCCCATCTTTATTGAAAATTTAAACTAGGCCTAGCTTATTCTATTAAGCCAGTAACTTTTTATTTAAAATATAAATTGGTTGTTTACCTCAAAAATCCCTGTAAAGCAATAAGGTTAGGGACAGGGTTAGGCCTACCTCAAATAATTATTTCAACTGTAGAAGAGAAGCAAAATAAAATAACAAATAAGACGTGTACGAGAACGTGTATACTTATAAAATTTAAAATGTAATGTGAAGTCTGAAATCAGAGTGCAAAAAAGCCGCCAAACTCTAATAATAAATAAATGACAGTAATAAGCCTGGTTTACACGGGTCGAGTACGGCGGGCGAGTCAGTGTGCGAGTTGCCACTCGCTCTTTAACTCGCATGGTGTAGACATGCAGGCGAGTCGAGCCACTGAGCTAAAATTATAACTGGAGGTAGCACTGCCATGGCAGAAGTCTGTCAAAAGCGAGTCGCTGATTTTGTTAGGTTGGTATAGCAGTAAGTTTTCTTACTATAGCAATAACATGGCTTCTTATAACTAGGTTGGTATAGCAGTGAGTATTTTTGTCATACTTGAATACTTTTAATACTTTAATAATTTTCTTTGAAATGGTGACCATACAAAGTAGGTATTTTAAGCCAAGTATAATAATAGTTATAGCAATAATATGGCTTCTTATGGACACCCACCTCACGCAAACATGGCGGCTGGCGACACGCATCTTTGACATTCAGTGCTACCTCCAGTTAGAATTATAGCTCAGTGAGTCGAGCAACGGGCGAGTTGATAAAAAGAGGTCAGTTGAGAGCGAGTCGAGTGATTTAGTTGAAAACCGAGTTGCTCGGCCCAGTAACTACCCCCACCACCACGATTAGCCCGCGAAACACTTGTTTACTGATATCAAGCGAGTCCAGCGACCACAGAATTTATTTTTTGTGGTCGCTGAGTGAGTCGATCACATTCACATACAACGATCAATTGAGGCTAGTTCAGTGAGTAGTGTAGGCCTATCTCACCCTCAATGCTCAATGGTTTATTTGAACAGTACAAGTGATTTTGTACAAGTACAAGTTGAACACAGTATTGTGTTGCTTGCACTGTCTCGTAAATCTACTCTTATAGAATTCAGTTTTCAAAATTGTTGTACAAGATCTACAGTTCTACTGGACCGATTTTATTTATCAATGGGTCGTTAGAAAGCTCACTCCCTAAAAATGTGTTCTATGCGATGAACACATTGAAACGGTGTTTTCAAATTTTTAATTTGGAGGCAACTTTTGGCTGCCTTTATATATTATTTTAAAGAAATACAGTATAGTAGGTAATTTGTAACAAATCTTTTATCTTTCAGAATTTCACCTTTCACTTTGGTCTATTTCATCACCGTTATTTTGCAAAAATGCTTTTAAGCAACCTCTGAATTTAAGTGGTGATTCAGTTTTATATCTAATAATCTTCAGTATTAAACTCTTGAAGGGCCATTTTTAAACTCAAACAACAATTAACTCGAAAGCTACGGTACACAGAATACCCTACACCATAGTGAAATAATAAAAATTACTTCTCTGTGCATACATTGTCCCTGTTTGATATAATTGAAATAGGAATGCGTGTAGACAGTCCCAGTCAAGTACCGGACGAGTTGGGACGAGTTGAACAAATCAACAACTGGGCCTAGTAACTGGGCCGAATAACTCGTCTGACATACTCGACCCGTGTAAACCAGGCTTAACTAGTGACAGTAGAAGCAGTTAGGAAAGTAGTGGCGGCCGCGGGACTCTCCGAGAACTCAACCCAAGTCCCAAAAAGGAACAATTTTTTTTTTTTTAATCTTATTTGCTTGAAAGCAGGCTTATATTATATGCAGCCTCGTTGTGCACTTATTTATTTGACGATTCTGTGGTTTTCATTTAGAGTTTGGTGAGTTTTTGTTAGTATTGACTTGGAATTGTAGAGGATATTGTTTTAGTTTGGTGGTCAATTTGATTTTGTTTTGTTTTTTTGTCAGATAATAGATGGGATTTAGTAGGATTCTAAGGCCATGAAAGGATAGTTGGGAGAGGGGTTGGGTTGGAGCATTGTTGGAGTCTTCTCGCTTGAGGGCTGTCAAGCATTTCTATCCCGAAAAGGAGGCCCATGGATGAAGAACCCAAGGATTGGAATGAATTAAGTGAGTGTTTGTGTTTGGTTTTGTTTTTTGTTTAAATTTTTCTCTTTATGTACATGAGGAAATCTATGATTTCTTGATATACTGTGTAGTCGTTAGTTCTGAGAATTTCTTGCAGATAGTTGGAGCTGTTACATTTCTGTATTATCTTCTGTGTTGATTTAAAACATCTATTCCTGGCTGATTCATGTGCTGGGCATTCAATAATCAGGTGTTCTACTGATTCATTGCGGCCCATTGTGCAGTTAAGACAGAGTGGCGTAAAATACTTTTTAATGAGGAATAGAGATTTATTCACATTTGCATGTCCCAAACGTAGTCGACACATCGTGATAATGTCCTTTCTTTTTAATCTTGAATTTCGGAACCATGTGCATTTGGGAACTGTATCTACAATTCCCTTATACCAGTTACCCTTTTCGGAAGTAATAAATAACTTGTTATGTTGGCTGTGGTAGAGTGTATTTAGGTAGCTCTTAAAATCGTCAATGGGTACTAACAAATTGTCTATTACTGTACCATGGGTAGTAGCTTCCTTTGCTAATTTATCAGCGGTTTCATTGCCCATGATGCCACAGTGGCCAGGAGACCAGTGTATAAGGATATTTTTTCCTGAATTGGACACCTCATACACTATATCATAGATAAAACATACTCCTATATCCATTACGATGCCCTCTACATCACAGTTTTGATTAATTTTGTCTATGGCTGCTATGGCTGATTGTGAGTCTGAAAATATTACAAAGTTACTATCAGGGAGCTGGTTAATAAATTGAACTGCTTTCAGTATGGCTATGAGTTCTGCGTAAAAGCTTGATATATATGTTGAGAGTTTGAATCTTTCTGCTATGTTGAGCTGAGGAATCCAGAAGGCAGCGCCTGTGCCGCTGTTCTTTTTGGAGCCATCACAATAAACTAAAACATAACCTCTTTCATAAAACTCTTCCACCTTTGAGAGAAATTTTTGTTTAATGACTAATTCGTTGAAACTGGTTTTGGTATCATTTAAGTTTGGCATACATTTTATCGTGTCCAGCATACAAAATGGTTCATTTAGTTCGTACTAGCTTTTGTGTCTATGTGCTTCTTCTAGCGAAGGGTTTACCTTGCAGATAGTGTCAAATGATTGCAAATATAGAGGTTTTGGTTTCTTTTGCCAAAAAGGCATTTCTCTACTTATAATTTCTAGTCTCATTAAATCTTGATAGGCTGTATGGTTTTTAGAGCTAATAACCTTGAATGTTAACCTATCCGTAAGAATCTTTCTTCTAATGTTAAGTGGTTTTGTAACTGTCTCTGCCAGTAGGGCGTTTATTGGAATTGGAGTGGTTTTAAAAGCACCAATAGCTATTCTTATAGCCTGATTTTGTATAACTTCCATTACATTGAGTAACTGGGAGGCTGAGCCAAATAAAAAGCAGCCGTAGTCCGTAGTCTAGTTTAGGTCTGATGAGTCCTTTGTAAACATCAAGAGCAAAGTCTGGGTGAGTGCCTTTACAACCACATACTATCGCTTTAATTACATTTAGGTCAGTTTGACATTGTCTTTGTACATTCTTGATATGAGTATTAAACTTCAGTTTGTCGTCTACGTCTATTAAAATGCCCAGTAATTTAATAGATTCGACAAGTGGAATCTCTTGGTTTCTGATTTTTAGTCAATAGAATAGTAGAATATAGTCAATAGAATAGTCATTTATTCAGTCTTTAAACAATACATTATTGTAATTGACATCGTCATTATTATTGTAAAAGATATAAGATGCAATACTTATAATTATTAAATTTGACATGAAAATTCCAAAATATAGGCTGCCCTTATTGAACATTTAACAGGTTTAAAATATTTTTTTAAAAATAGGCAAACTTAACAAACTTAAATTATGAATAATAGTGGGTCTTTCTTAAAAAGGCTAATGGTTATCACAGGTGTACAATGAACATAGAGGGACAAAATTACTAACATTATCACAGATGGAATATGGTAAAAAAAACATATCAAAATAGTGAACATGAAATATATGAAAATTAATTACAGTAATAAAAATCCTAGCCTAACTTAAAACAAAATTTCTAACATTATCACAGATGGAATATGGTAAAAAACATATCAAAATAGTGAACATGAAAAATATGAAAATTAATTACAGTAATAAAAATCCTAGCCTAACTTAAAAGCATTTAACATTAGCAAAAAATGAGATCACCTTCAAAAAATTCCTCAATTTTGTAAAATGGGTGAGATGAAAGCCACATAGTTAATTTTCTTTTAAAGACACTTAACGGCAAGGACTTGACTTGGGGATGAAGCTTATTAAATAATTTAATACCTAAAACAAAATGACTGTTTGCAGTTTTCTGTAGCCTACAGTGAGGTACATCAACTAGACCCCTATTCCTTGTGTTATAACCATGAATGTCTTGGCGCAAATCATACTCTTTTTCCTTTTTCTTAACATTAATCAGACAATGCAGGATAAAAACATTAATGACAGTTAATATGCCAGTGCCCACAAATAACGGTTTACAATGTGCTCTTCGGCGAGATCTAGTTATGATTCTCACAGCCTTCTTTTGAATTAACAATACATTATTTACATGGGTACTATTACCCCATAACAAAATACCATAACTTAAAATTGAGTGAAAAAAAGCATAATACACAGACTTTAAATAATTCTGAGGCAGACTAGAGCTAAGACATTTAAGAAGATAAATACACCTAGACAACTTACCACTAATGAAATCAATGTGTTGAGACCAGGTCAAACAGTTGTCAAACACTAAACCTAAAATTTTTATGTCATTTGGTTCATTGTAATCATCGACTCTATTTCTAGTCTGACAGAGTAAGTGTTGAGTTTTATTCTCATTAATAATCAAACCATTAGCACTAAACCATTGCTTGGCTTCTAAAATAGTATTTTTGGCAATATTAGACAAGACATTTGTATCATTGCTTATACTAAGAAAGGTTGTGTCGTCTGCAAACATTGTAGTTGAAGAAAGGGACACATTGGCAGGTAGGTCATTAATTGATAAAAGGAATAATAAAGGCCCCAAGATAGAACCCTGTGGTACTCCCATTATTACATCCAGACATCTTGAACGATCACCCTTCAACTCTACAAACTGAGATCTTCCATGCAAGTAT